AGTGAAGATGAAAGTGAAGGGCAATGGGATGTTCAACAACATGCTGCGGTACCTGTACCTGCTGGTGTCCATCCCGTACACGGACCTGCTCATCCTGTTCACCATGCTGCCGTGACTCCCATGGATGAAGGAGAAGGGCGAGTTCTTTGGTCTCCTCAATGGGAAAATGCCACGGGGGAGATCCAACATGAACTCACTGAGAACTCTCAACGTGATGGGAGCATCGCTGGCCCTGATGAAGTACCTGCTCATGCTGTATCTGAACCTCAGGGAGATCATGAACGTTGGGGAGAAGTACATTCACTTGATCATGAACATGATCATGCGCAAGAACATCATTGGGGAGAAGCACGTTCACTTGATCAAGAACACGATTATGCACAAGAGCATGGCCACGACCCCGCTGTATCTGGACATCAGGGAGAAATACAACGTGGATTGGGTGACAGTCTTTTGATGTATGGTCGACCTGAACCAGACCTCTATCGCCTTCTACATGATGGGCGTATGCTACGACGTGGAGCACATGAACCAGTTGAGCCGGCGCCGAACACCCCTGCAGCTGGAGCGATTTCTTATTACGAACCTCGTGGTGTCCGGCTTGGCGACCTCATGGGTGACCAGAAGCCTGGTACAACTATGGTGACAACCGATGATGGTCTTTCTGCTGCTGTACCACCTGGGCATGATGAAGTGTACCTGAACCTGATCAACGTCCTGTACATGGCGAGGATGTACCTGTACCCGATCAACATCCTGCACAGGGCGATGCTCTACCTGGACCCTTACATGTTCCTGAACATTGGGAAGATGGTGCTACGGATGACAGTTTGGAGTCCCATGTCAACACGGTGGTGATGGGAGATTTGGTTGGGACCTATGTGGATGATGAATGGGTGTCGGCAAATCACGTTCTGGACTGGTTTGCAGGGGGTGACACCCTGCCCTGGATGTCCTTCGAGGAGCTCTTCGACAAGGCCATCCTGTCTTACAAGAAATACCGTGCAGAACAACGTGCCCTCTTGTCTACAACTGCTGTACAACCTGGCCAAGTTCGACGTTGGGGAGAATGGCGTGATGGCAAAGACAGGTGGCACAATGACGATGGAACAAAGAAGACCAATGTTGCTCACACCCAGGCGGCCTCTTCCAAGGATCCAGTACCAAGACCAGATGACTCGTCACCCAGTACATCAACGTCGCTGGCGGGCTTCTACAAACATGGTGTTTGGCATGCTCGCGAACGTACAGAAGAGGAGCGAAAATGGGCTGCTGGTGGTCAGGGGAAACATCGCCAGGACAAACGAGCTGCGAGAATGAAGGCTTGGGCCAATGGTGAATGGATACCATCGTGGCTACGGAAGTTCAAGGAGGAAAAGGAGGAGCGTGAACGCCTTCGTCGCCTACGTGAACCTGAAGAGAACAAGGATGAGGAAAATGAGGATGACGTCAGTGAACTTTGGCAACGTCCAGGGCGAGTTCGTGATGATTTTGTGGAGGCTGAGGACAATGAGGTGGTGATGCTCATGGAACGGCCTGGGTTGACTTCACAAGAGTATGTTGACCTCATCAACGGGGGCGTTCCTCCTCATCTTGCACGTCGTCTTGAGCAACTCCTAAGACGATATGAGGCGTACCAAAGCAATGACCGAGGAGCCGAGGCACGCTGGGCGCTTGGCAGATGGCTTGTTACCAGCCAAGTGGGGGCGGCATCACAAGACCGTGCTGAGGAACCTGTCCAGAGTCGGTCTCGTGACAGTCGTCACTTTCCTCTTCGTCGTGAACCTGATTGCCGAGCACTGCGTGAAGAGTTGATACAGTGGACACAGGAGATCACCCATGTTATGGCTGCTATTTATACCCATGGGGCGAACATGGCACACCCGGGTGAACTTCGTGACCTCCCAACACCTTTAACTACGGCTGACGTTGTGGATATGGGAATGTCTACTGTGTCCAACTCCAACAATGTGGGCCACGGGGTGATGCTTGCGGACTTGCAACCCTTGACTACGGGGAGATCTCGATCACGCAGCAGAACAAGACCACGACAACGAGAACCTGCTGGATCGCCTGAGGATGATGTGTCCTCGTTTATGGAACTGGGTGGCAATGGAGATGGGCGAGATCCAGATCGTCCTGTCAATGATGATGAACGAGACGACCATGATGATCGGGAAGATGGGAGAACTTCTCCTGTGGAATCGGACGGCACCGTCCACACTGTGGTGGAGGAAAATGGGGGAGATGTGGACGCTGCCCCACCTGCCTCGGCATCCACTGGACCTGCAGTTGGTGACATGGGTGCGCCACCTGCTTTCCTTGGCCCAATGTCTTTGACAGCGCTACAGTCAGCTGGAGATCGTCACTATGAGCTCATGGATGAGGAGGTGGAATTCGCGGACAGGGCATGGCTCATTGAGCAAGCAGTAAGGGCGACTATGTATGAGTTGAACAGTGGGTCGGCCAGGGAGATTGCCAGAAGACTCCTCCTTCATCAACATCATCTTTCTGAAGTGCAGTTCTGGTTGAACAGAGCCCTGCAACAGGCTATGAGATGCTGCCCTGCAGTGGAGAATGGAGTTCAATGGGATGCAGTCCGTCAACGTGAAGAACAAATCTGGCAGAGGATACTTGGACTGGAGGGAGATGATCCAATGGTGCAACGTCTACGTGCAGCTTCACAAAACCGCATGGATCGCAGGGAACAACTTCTTCGTGACGTTATACACCATGCAGATCGTGGAGCTGGTGGGCATCCCTATAGACGTGGCAGTACTGGACATGACAATGGGCGACCTGGGTCCTCCACGGATGGGAGACCAAGACCACGACCGAGCAGGGCGCCTCATATTCCTCCACGAGCTACGCCAGACAACCCCTTTGCTACCCGCCCTGCTGGTCCTGACATTGGGATGAGTGACTATGAAGACACGTTGGGACTGGCAGATGACTCGGCTGATGATGACGTCCCTGGTGTCCACAGTGGAATGGCGACAGATGGGGGTGATGTACATGACACTTTGGATGGTGGTTTGGGTGGGGTCGTACCTGCACATGCTACAGTACCCCTTGATGATCCTGCAACTGGTGGCCTGGGTGGAGATGTACATGGACCTGCTGCAGCTCTACATGGTCATGCTCCTGATGGCGATATTGAAGTTGATCATGGTGGTGGGGTCGGAATGTTACATGATCCTGTGACTGATGGATTGGGTGATGCAGTACCTGAACTTGCTACCGTATGTCTCGGTGCTGCTCCTGGACATGATCCTCGTGATGATCATGGTGGTGGTGGTGGTGCTGTACCTGTGCCTCCTACAGTACCACTTAGTGACGCTCCTGGAGGTGATCTTCGTGAAGACCATGGTGGTGGTGTTGGAGATGACCTTTTGGACGAAGCAGAAAGTTCTGATGCCGAAGAGTATGTGATGAGCGAGACAGACATGGAGGATGGCAACGGTGCATGACTTCACCCTGCCATTTGTTTCACTTTCGTGTATGTCGTTCGCGACAGGCGTTGCTTCGAGAAAGACACGTCAGTACATGTTAAAAAAAAACCACAACCCTAAACCCTACACCCAATTCCTAAACCCTAAAGCAGAACCCAACACCCTAAACCCCACACCCAAACCCTAAACCCTGAACCACAACCCAAAACCCTACACCCTAAACCCTAAACCCTCCTAAGCCCTTAACCCTAATCCGTAAACCCTGGCGAACCCTAAAAAAAAAGTCTCGGCCGGGTCACGGCCGAGTCTCGGCCAAGCGTAAATCCTGAACCCTAAGCTCTATGTCCTAAACCCTGAACCCAAAACCCCTAAACCTTACACCACAACCCTAAAGCTTAAACCCTACACCCAAACCCTAAACCCTAAACCTTACACCCAAACCCTAAACCCTAAACCGTAAAGCTTCAACTCTAAAAGCCTAAACCCTCCTAAGCCTTTCACCCTAATCCCTAAACCCTGGCGAACCCTAAAAAAGAGTCTCGGCCGGGTCACGGCGGAGTCTCGGCCAAGCGTAAATCCTGAACCCTAAGCCCTATGTCCTAAACCCTTAACCCTAAACCCCTAAACCTTACAACCAAGTCCTTAACCCTAAACCACAACCCTAAACCCTAATCCCTACACCCGAACCCTAAACCCTAAACCAGAACCCTAAACCCTAAACCTTACACCCAAACCCTAAACCCTAAACCACAACCCAAAACCCTACACCCTAAACCCTAAACCCTCCTAAGCCCTTAACCCTAATCCTTAAACCCTGGCGAACCCTAAATCCGAGTCTCGGCCGGGTCACGGCCGAGTCTCGGCCAAGCGTAAATCCTGAACCCTAAGCCCTATGTCCTAAACCCTTAACCCTAAACCCCTAAACCTTACAACCAAGTCCTTAACCCTAAACCACAACCCTAAACCCTACACCCAAACCCTAAATCCTAAACCAGAACCCTAAACCCTAAACCTTACACCCAAACCCTAAACCCTAAACCCTAGACCACAACCCGAAACCCTACACGCTAAACCCTCCTAAGCCCTTAACTCTAATCCCTAAACCCTGGGGAACCCGAAATCCGGGTCTCGGCCGGGTCACGGCGGAGTCTCGGCCAAGCGTAAATCCTGAACCCTAAGCCTTATGTCCTAAACCCTTAACCCTAAACCCTAAACCTTACACCCAAAGCCTAAACCCTAAACCACAACCCTAAACCCTAAACCTGACACCCAAACCCTAAACCCTAAACCGTAAAGCTTGAACTGTACAAACTTGAAACCCGTGCAAAAGCCCTTGAACCCGAAACCTTAGAACCACACCCTAAACATGTGTATGTACAACAACAGAGAAAAAAAAACATTTTGACACAAAAAAAGACATATTTGACCCCAGACTCGTCTTGATATAGCTCTTATATACCCATTATATAGCCCATTATAGGGTAAGGGTCCCCATTAAGGGTCCCTCCTATTCCCCTTTGATACTTGGCTGCGGGTCCCACGTCCCAGGAAGTCCCTCGTGGATGCAAAGACAATGGACCCGGCGTCACCCCCAGGTGCCTCCGGCATTGATTTGGTGTTTTCCGAAAATAAGGGGTACCTTGGGGATTTTAAGGGGTTTCTATAAGGGCATTATACGGGTTCCTTTAAAAAGGGCTACTATAAGGGTTTAGGGTTTCCGAAAATTAGGGGTACCTTTTGGGGGTCCTAAAAAATGCGGATCCTACTATTTAGGGTACTATAGTAGGGTCCCCTATTTTCGGAAACTCCCATTTCAGCGAGGTCTTTATGCTTTGAGTGGCCGCATCGGTACATGCGCAGGAAACTAATCTGGCAGCTAAACCCTAAACCCTAAAGCTAATGGAAACTTGTGTTATATGGGACCCTAGCCAAGGCCCTGAAACTGAAAAGCAGTATCCTTACTACTGTAGACCCCTGATCAATGAACCCTGTGCCGTGAAGGGTATAAAGGAGGGATCGAAAGACGAAGGCAGGTTTTCTATACGGGTACTATAATAGGGGTGTAGGGTCTCTTTGTTTAAGGGATCTATAAAGGCTTCTATACGGTCTATACGGGTACTATAGGGCCTTAGAGCGGGGAGCTTTGTTAATCAGGTGTCTACATTATAAGGGTCCCTGGACAAGGTAACCCCGTTTTCAGACAGTCCGAGACGACCAATGTACCCTCATAGTAGACAAAAATCCCCTAAAGTATGTCACCCTCAAAATTCACCTAAATTAGGTAACCCCTAATTTCAACCTCCCCAAAAGAAGCTAGCGCCTCTGGTATCAGGGACCTCCAAACTTTGAACCCGCAACCCGACCCCCAACAGGCCTGCAAACTTTCAATAGTTTTATTCTTTTTTCGGCATGGTTCCCTGCATTTAGGGAGCCCTGATCACGTTTCCAGAAACCTGAAATATGTTCTAAAGTCCCTAAACCCTAAACCCTAAGCCCTAAACCCTAAACCCTAAAGCCGCACAGAGAAGCCTTTGAAAGGAGTCGTCGAATCTGGCACGTTCAAAGAGCAGGCCAAGGCGAAGGCCAAAAGCGAGGCCGCCGAGGAGACCCCAGACCCCCATTCCCCTAGGGATCAAAATGGCCCAAAAGCCTTATATAGTATGGTCGTTGGGCCCAAAAGCCATAATATATGAGTCCTTAGATCCCTAGGGTTCTAATACCCTACATCTTTCTAAACCCTTAAACCCGAAACCCTAAACCCACATTGTTAAGGCCCCTCTAGCGGGAGCCTGAAGTATTGGCTTTGGGGAGTTTTTTGGTTTCCTTCGCAGCAGGAGCTTGTGCCAGCGCATGAAGCACCTGAGGAGAGCGCGCCGCCTGAGAAGACTGCGCCCTTCCTGGAAGTTGTTGAGGGTTTGGGGTTTAGGGTTTAGGGCTCAGGAGTTTAGGAGTTTAGGGTTTTGGGTTTAGGGTTTAGGATTTTTTTGGACGAGGAGCCCATGCAATTCAATGCAACTCAGGCGTTTACCCTGGATTGTTTGGTCCTAGTCCCTTGGCCCTAAACCTTAAAAAACCTAGAACACCCGAACACCCTTGGATCCTAATCGCTATAAACCCCAAAACGCCAGAAACCAAGGACTTCTACGTCACCCTGCACCATCTGGCGCACGAGGGTCAAGACTTCTGGGCCCATGTCACCATTCGTTTCAGAGATGAACCTCCGGTGCCTGGGCCTTGCCGTAAACCTACGGCTGATGATATGGGAGTTTCTGAAAATTGGGCGGGTACCTTATTTTGGCGTCCTTATAATAAGGATCCTAGTATCTAGGGTACTATATCAGGGTCCCCTATGTTCCGAAACTCCTATATACGGAATATCAAAGTACAGACAGCGTCAGTAAGGTAATGCAGGATGTGTACCATCAGCCGTAGTGACCTAGTAGCAGAGGGTAACCTTTGACCTTCTTCCGGGTATCATAATCCCGAATCCCGAAATACTCCCAAAGGTTAACCTTTGGTTCTTCCAGGATACTGGACAGGTAGTGTATCTTCCTTCCCAGGGGCTTCATATTTTTTGTTGTGATTATGTTAGGGGCGGCTTCACTTCGATTCCATTAGAGTCTAATGAGGGCTCTGCCAGCGTTTACTAGGTTTTCTGAGGGGTTTAGAAAGTTTGTATCATGGATTGCTGCATTATGAGTACTATGCAGTCTAGAGGCTTTGAGGAACAGCAACCCACTATATGCGAGTTTCCAAATATAGGGGACCCTAGTATTATGGTACCCTAACTAGTCGAATCCTTCGGCTGATGGACAAAATCCTGCATGATCCATAATAAGGAATATACCATAATTTCCATATATTCCTTATTATGGGTCATGCAGGATTTTGTCCATCAACCGTTCTTATAAGGAGCGCAAAGTAAGGTACGCCTAATTTCCGGAGACTCAAAACCCTTATACTGCCATTTGAAGGCACTCTTACAGTACCCTAAAAGCAACCCCTTTGAAGGAATCCGAAGGGTACCCCTAGTTTTCGGAAACTCCCACAAAAGAGCTGGGGCTCCTGGGTTCTGCAGAAGTCCTACTTGGAGGGTCAGGGGACTTAGTAAGTAGTTATTGTAGGGACTTATAAGTACCATAACCCCAATTAGAGTCCCTTTTAGGGTACTTATAAGCCTACTTACTACCTACTTACTTAGTCCCCCGACCCTCCAAGTAACCCTGCACAACTACTGTGGAGCCTCAGGGCTCCGGTAATTTTGGTGCCTAGATGCCCTAGGGATCTAAGGACTCATATATGCAGGCTTTTGGATTCAAAGACAATAATTTCTGCAGCTCTTGGGCCATTTTTGCGCCCCAGTGATAATTACCGATAGTATTCCTCAGGTTTCCTTCTTCGAACTAGCTACAAAAAGCCAAAGCCCGATTTAACGTGTTAAGGACCCATTTGTACCTTGGAAGTTGGGTTTGCAACCCTACTCTAATGGTTGAATAGTTGAGGGTTTTTGGCTGCCCCAGTTTCGGGCTTAGGGTTCAGGGTTTAGCGACAAAAATTCTCCTGTATTAACCCCTTAATTAAGGAATATGGCCTAAATTATATAGGGCTTCATATTATGATTTAAGCTATATTCCTTATTTAGGTGGTATTGGGCTCTCTGGGTACCCTGTATTAGCTTCAGATGTCGAGGCGCACTACACCATTCCGAGCTTCTGCTGCACCACGGTTCGTCTGGACACAACGACAGTTGCGGCTTGGCCCAGGTAGGCGGCTAAAGGGCCAATTTCACAGGTTAACCCAGGCCTTTTATCAGGGTTGTATAGGGTCAATGCACCTATACAATTCATACTTTGGCCGTGAAGGGGTAACAAATTTACCTAAAACGGTACTTGTCAAAGATTGGACATGTGTATACTATACGTCTACATGGACGCCTGGGGTTAGCAAGTTAGGACCCCCCCAAAGACCTTCGCTGAAGTCCTTCAGCTCTTCCAACAGAGGTTGAAGGGAAGGTAGTTGACATAGGGCCTCGCAGACGGTAGTAGGGGGTTGGATACGGGATCTGGAGCAGAAAGCACGCTTCAAGCCTCAAACACCCTTTCAAAGCAATACACGCCCTTCTAAAACCCCGGAAAGCCCTCAGGTAAGTCTGTTAATACAGGGGTGTTAACAAGTTCCAATACTATTTTGGTGGTTCCTTATTTTTCCAATTTTAGTATAAGATGTCCCCAAACCCTGTTCTAATTATTATGGCCCCTACAACACATTCTCTGCCAGTCCCAGTCTACTCTATTTTCTTCTGGTAGTTTTAAGCAGGGTTTAGGCGTACCCCACTTGGGATGGGGTTGTTGTATTCCCCACCCGTGACCCCTATTACGTCGCCGCGCTTGACCCCTTAAACCCTCAAGTGTATAAAGGCCGATGAACCGATCGTTGTCAGATTAGGGTTGCGCAATGCTCTCGATCACAAGGCCATCGACGTGCGAACGAACAATGCTCACGACAGCTTGGCTGAAGCTACACACACGTTCGCTGCTTGTCCAACAAAAACCCTTAGCACGCACTCCCAAAAACCCTGAGCCCCCCCAAAACCCACACCCCGAAATCAAATGTACCCTGCAAAACCTTACAAATCCGCACAAAACCCGTGCAAAACTCGTGCAAAACCTATGCCCCGAACTCTAAGCAAAACATTGACAGCAAGTATACCCGGAATCTTGGAGGGATTTAGAAAGCAGATCCCCTTATTTGGGGCCTTAAACTACTAGGGGGACTTTATAGGCACCCCCATTAAAGAATCTACTTTTTGGATCCTCCCGGGGGTCTGGGTAAGGCTTTTCTGTCACTTACTTCAACTCTGAACCCCTCGGCACAATGCTAGGCAAACCCTAAACCCTAAACCCTGGCAAAGCTCCGGAAGCCGCACATTGGGGGACAGAGGGCCAATATAGGGGCCTGAGTAGTTTCCTATACTATCTTGGGGGCTTATTATATCCATGGTATAGTGGGCCCCCACACCTTACTCAAATTATTAAGCCCCTGTACTAATACTGCGGCCACGCCATACTTAGGTAGCTCGAGTAGTTTATGGTCGTTGATGGGAGTCATAATCAGTCAGGTAACCAGTGAGGTACTTGTCGGCTTGGAGTATAAACATCACTCATATCTACTGCACAGTATAACGGGCATGTTGGAATTTTGATTCCAGTCAGGTCTCATAAAGATATGCTAAAGTCGTCATATTGAAGTCCAGAAATAACTATTCGACAGGATCGATGTACACTACTATTGCGGGGTTAGGTACCCTAGAACCAGCATTTCGGATGGTCATTCGGGCCTAATTCAATAATGGTAGTATATCTAGTTTCTACACCCTATACCCTAAACCCCGGTGGGTATGATTTAAGATTTAAGACTGCATTTTCGTGGGGGGGGGGGGGTGTTACGGCTTAGGGATAAAGGCGATCTGGGGTTGAAGATCGAGAGGCTAGGGCTTAGGGATTTAGGTGATTTTGGGTTTAGGATTCAAAGATCAGGGTTTAGGAGTTTGGGATTTAGGAGTTTGGGGTTTAGGGGTTAGGATTTGGGAGTTTCCGAAAATTAGGGGGAACCGCATTTTGGGGTCCCTATAATAAAGATCCTACTATTGGGAGTAATTACTATAATAGGGTCCCGAATTTTCGGAAACTCACATTAGGGTTTAGGGTTTAGCTCAGGGATTAGGGTCTGGCATTCGGTTTAGGGGTTAGGATTTAGGGTTTAGGGGTTTAGGGTTTCCGGCTTCATGTGCCGCGACTTGAAGATCGGCCAAGGACATGGTTTTCGCGGATGAATATTGTCGGGAGGACATCCAGTAGGGACCCCCAAAAAGGCACATAAGCACAAGCATATTAAATAGGGATATCCCTACCTTATTGGGCTTCATTAAAAGGGGGTCTATATGCTTTTTTGGGGGCCCTATCCAGAGAACCCTCAACCCTAAACCCTAATGGGAGTTTCCGAAAACAGGGGGCCCTAATATAGTAACCCCCATAGTAGGATCCTTAGTATAAGGACCCCAAAGAAGGTACCTCCCCCCTAGTTTTCAAGGTTTCCTCTGTTTATGTTGGGCCAAGGGAGCCCGGACCTCGATTCACCTACAGTTAGGATGTCCTTAAGGGGGGGTGGTCCAAGGGGGGTAGGTAACCTAGTAATCCCCATTATTCCCCAATACTCCCTAAGCTTCCCTAAGGTTCCCCAAAGCTCCCTAGTACCCTCCCCCCTTGAACCACCCCCCCCTTAAGGATCCTATAACCAAGAAGTTGGAACGGACTAAGACAAAATAGTGCCGGGATTCCCTATACATTAGTCTTAAGGGTTGAGGCTATGGGGTTTCCAACTTTTGGGCTTCTACTGTATAGTAGCATCTTCCGTGGCCTTAACGGTACTACATACATCAGGAACTGGTGAGTGGGCCAAAAGTGTATACTGTGCAGATTACTGCATAAACAAAGGAAGCTTTAGGGGAATCGAAACTCAAGCCACCGATATGAGAGAGCCCAATATCCTTTCATCATCATATTGGGTGGTAGAGCGCTTGATGATTCGACTCTTTGGGAACTGGCTAGTTGGACCCTCACAAAGACCGAGCAGAAAGTTGAAATCCCCGATATGAACCCTGCAGAGCCATCGGGGTTTCGTTGCTCAAGACAGGGCAACTAACCCTAAACCCTGAATTCCTAAACCCTGGAGGACGGCATGAACTTCTACATCTTCAGTGACACGCAGATGTCATCGCCGACGGAGCAAGAAGCTATTCTGCTCTGGGTGATTTAGGGTGTAGGGTGTAGTGCTTTTGTCTTGATGTGCGCAGTGATTCTCTGGGCTTCGGTTCTAGGGTTCAGGCTTCAGGGTAGGAGTGGTGGCTTCCTGGAGAAGACCAGTGACAGCCAAGGAAAAGAAATGCTTCCAATGCCTGTGCCTGACGTGCATCTACCCTCCGATTGGGGCAATGGTCCTGCTAATCGCGGGTCTCATCGCGGCTGCGCCGAACTTCATGTCTTTTGTTTGTCTTCTGCAGGAACCTTAACCTTGATAATATAGAGGCCGGAATAAGTACCAATATCATTCCGAGGGCACCTTATAAGTATCTATAATGACCACAGCATACCCCAAGACCGTCGTCTAATTATTAAGGCCCCTATACTAATACTATCTAGTCAAATTATTAGATACAGAACTCCATACCCTAAACCGCCAAACCCTAAACCCTAGACCCAATAATGCCCGATAGTACCGTATAGATCTCTTTAAATAAAGCCCTAACCCCCTAAAGTACTGTATAGATCTCTTTAAATAAAGCCCTAAACCCCTACAGCCTACAGCCAAATAAGTAGATATAGAGACCCTGAAGATGACCCTAAACCCTACCCTAAACCCTAAATCCTAAACCCTAAACCCTAAACTCTAAGCCCTAAACCCTAAACCCTAAACCCTGAACCCTACCCTAACATCTAAACCCTCAACCCTAAACCGCAGATGAGCCCCCCCCCCCCCCCCCGCGAGACGAGGGCCTCGTTCGGAGAGCCATCCGGCCCCGGGAAATGGTCATCCACTTCGAGCCCGGGGAGAAAGGCTGCAGGGGAAGGGCACCTTTTCGGGTTTATGGGTTTAGGGTTTCGTTTAAGGTTCTGGGATATCCCTACCTTATTGGGCTTCATTATAAGTTCGAGCCCGGGGAGAAAGGCGACGGGAAGGGTACGTTTGTGGGTTTAGGGTTTCTGTTGGGGTTCCGTCAATGTTTCCGAAAAGGCTTCCTTATGAGGTTCTTTTTGAGGGTTACTCTAAAGATTTTTTCGTGATTTTGAGTAACGAGGAAGGGTTTGGGGTTTAAGGGATTGGGTTCAAGGTTTTGGGGTAACGGGGCGGTCAAACACAGCTACCCACTCCGAAGTGCTTTTGAACCCTTAGAGCCTAGAGCGCCTATCAATGCCACGGGACCTGTATAACACTTCTAAACCATTCCAAAGACATGGGACGCGAACTTCACTTACTTAAAAGCTTTTGGGCGTCCACCCCAAACCCGCAGCAATAAAACTCTCAGAGTCCATCGACAGTAATAATATACCCGAAACCCCTAAACCCTAAGCCCTGAAGCCTAAACCCCTAAACCCTAAAAGATACCCTATAGTACCCTTTAGATCCCTTTAAAGGAAACCCTGAACCCCTAACCCCTAAGCCATATACCCCTCCGAAGGAGGCAAGCTGGATGGGAAGGAGGGTAGCGTGCTGCATTTCCTGCGGCACGGTGGTGAAAATCACCCGGTGCCGATCGACGTCCAGGATGAAAAGACCGAGACCTGGATTGGAGTTAGCCGCCGTGTTTGCAGAGGATCTCTGCAAGTTTGAGGTCGTTTTATCAACATCCGGGTCGGAATAAGTAGTTAGAGCATTCCCTTATAGCCCAAATGACTGTAGTACATCAGTCCAAAAGACTGTTCTGCTTGTCTTGGCCATATAATACGGCTTCTTCCAGTGTTACGATCCGGGGGTTGAAGTCTCAAGTTTCCGCTGTTTTCGGAGTAGCTCGGTTAATGGGTTTAGGGTTTAGGGTTTAGGATTAAGTTTAGGTTGCACAAGCTCGAGCCCAGCCTGAAACACCAAACCCTACACCCCAAAAAAGTCTTTCAACAAAAAAGCCCGATAGAGGTTGACACACTTGTAAAACGCCATATCCGAGCCCTTCAAGTTTCAATGGAACCCCGAAAGCCTGGAAGCCTGAAAGAGCCCTTTAAGGGATCCCTGAAAGTAGAGGCTTCCGCAAATCTCTCAAGGAAACAGGAGCCTCTTTGAGATGTTATGCGCCCTGCAACAGCAAGAACTAATGCAAGTTACATGAACAACCTACACCCGAAATCCTTCGAAAAGGAATAACTGTTAAGTTCAAGGACGTTAAACCCTAAAAAGCCAAACACTGAACCTCTCGACTCGGATCCTAAACAAGGCCCAAAAAACCCTTCAAGATTGCAAACGAAGGGCGCCGTGGCGAGCTTTTCCCTCTGGACTGGTCAAAGCCACACCCTCTCCCGCGCTTCAAACAAGAAGGCAGCGGTTCAAAGGGTTGCAGGGGTGGCATGAAGGTAGGGGTATTGTCAATAAGAGTCTTCATCCTACCTACCTTCATCCCACCTTTTGAGGCCTCCAAGTGGTTAGTAAAGTGTTTTTCAACGTAACCGTAGACCCTAAGCCCCAGACTTTTAACCCTAAACTCCTAAGGTTGTGTGGTTTCAGGTCGGCTTCTAGGTTTTCGGTATTGCGAATTTTGTAGCAGGCATGCATGCATAGTACAGATTTACATAATTACATACATACATACATACATACATACATACATACATACATACATACGCACACATATACATCCACATGTGCACACATAAACACATAACGGAACGCACGCATGCACGTACATACGCTTGCAGATATGCATGCGCATACACATACATACTCGTGCATGCACACATGCACACAAACACCTACCTCCGCGTATCACGCATACATACACAAGCAGACACACACACACATATATATATATATACACGTATGTGCACACGTATGTACGCACACGTACACATATGTGCAGTACTACGTACATACACATAAACACGTACGTGACATGTAGCCGACGTTGCCCAAGAGCCGGGCGAAAATTAGCGATCTCCTGTAGGTCACCTGGCATTCGCCGCCCGGACAGCCTGGCACGCAAGCCTTCGACGCTGCGCCGTTTGCCAATCGGCACGTCTACTTGCTCCTGAAAGGCATGTCCCCAATATCAAAAAAAGTCAAAATAGCCCTCTGAGGTCCTTATTTATTCATAAGACCCTACATTAGGCTCTAGGACTCTAGGATCTGCAGTTTAGGGTTCAGGGCTGCAGCAACTGAATTCTCCTCATTCCTGAACCCCAAACCCTAAACCCCTAAACCCTAAACCCTAAACCTCTAAACCCCTAAACCCTAAACCCTAAACCCCGACCCAAAACCCTGAAAGGCAAGGAGCGGTCCTTTGCACCTGCAGTGTGCATTCGTCAGAGGAGTGCTCATGCGCCAGAGGATGACCAGTTGCCCGCCCTGGAGTTCAGGGCTTATGGGTTTAGGGTTGAGATCATTAGGGTCCCTTAGGGTTTAGGGTTTAGGATTTAGGGTTTAGGGTGGGAGGGAGTTGGGGTTTAGGAGCAGCCGATCAACAAAGCTAACTGTGTTTTCGAGTACACAGCATAGTGTGGGATTGTTATATGCTGTTCTCAGTTCCCCAATCCATTGTTCAGAAAATCATGAGACTTGTAAGTGTCCGAAGACATGCTGTGAATGGTTGTGGGTTACAGCGATACACAGGCCAAAATGTAGACACCCAGTGAATAAACTCCATTTGCGGACCCTACTACCAAAGGCGTCGACATGGAGCAGAAACTGCTTGAGTTCTCTTGTCTTCGACTAAAAGTCATCACCACCTTGATCCCCAAGGCTGACACTTTAAAGCTTAAAAGTCCTATAAACTCTTAATGGGCAGTTCTCTAAATTAGGGTCCCTTAGTGCTGTACTAAATCCTTTTCAAAAGCACCCGAAAAGGATTCTGAATTTGAGAACTACCCGAATAAGCCCTAAGCCAGGGTCCAAGAAATCTTGAGATACATCGGAAAGGTTGAGAAAAGTCAGCCGAACCCGCGACAACAATGAGGCCCCCCCAACATCCGCTTATACGTGCGTCCTCAGCCAATTTTGAGGGAGCGCAAAAAGAAAGGCCTTGTCTGCAACCCTTGGGTTCTCTGTTGTGTTGAGGGCTTAGCAGGGAATGGGTTATTCGGACTACTACAGGAGACCTGAAGGAACTGTCATAGGGATCCATCCCCCTTTTCCCCACTAAGCACCAGACAGCTTAGTGTTTTCAGGCTGTGTTTAGGAGTTTTGGGGATTTGCAGGGCTTACACACTGTTAACACACTGTGAGATCCTCTTCTAGAACAAAGCAATAGACATCCATAGGGCTCCATTTACTTAAATAGCAGGGGTATAAGGCATATATAAATATTTATGGTCAGTAACCCTAAACCCTATACTACCCCTATTGTAAATACCTATAAAATCTATATATAGGGTTAGTAACTTGCTGCTGTTTAGGTGCCTGGAGCCTTCTGAAATCAGCAGAACAAGCGAAGGTTCTACGTACATCTTCATCACGTTGCTCCGGGAGGCAGGGATCCTGAGCTCCAAACCCTGAAGGGTTTGGGATTTAGGGGTTTAAGGGTTTAGGGGTTCAGGGGTTTATGGGTTTAGGGGTTCAGGATTTAGGGGTTTGAAGGTTTATTGTTTAGGGGTTCAGTGTTTAGGGGTTTGGGGTTTATTGTTCAGGGGTTTGGATTTAACTCCCAGCCCTTAAAGCCGTGAGGCAAAGACTTGCAAGCGAAAGTCAGAGTGAGATCGAAAAATGGCAGTACGGCAGCTCGGCCCAACCGCTCTAAACGGTTTATAGTCGAAGCCAGAAACTTGGAACAACAATATCCTCATGCCCTTAAGGTAAAGTATAAGGGATCCCAGCACTAATCCTCCTAAAGCCTGGCTTCTACTATAGGTTTTATTCGTTGGCTTTGTTTTTTGAGGGTTTCAAAAAAGCAGGTGCTTTAGTATTCAGGGTTTGGGTTGCTGTGATCAATGATTATCTACTATTTGCTTAAGAACCCCCCCCCAAAAAAAAAATATATTCCTTATGGGGGTAATATAGGGATTATTATTTTTATTTTTTGGGTGGTTTCTTAAGCAAATAGTAGCTAATAATGGCTAAGGGTTTAGGACGTCAAGTGTTGGTCTTAGGGTTTTGGCGATTCCTTAAACCACAAACCCCCCGCGCCGGCCTTTAGCCCTAAGCCTAATACCACTTTGCAAAAGTGCAAGAAAGCAACCCTAAGGGTACAAAGGGACGCAATGATTAGGTACTCAGGTTTCGGATACTACATGGTTATGTAGGTTGCTATTTGGGAGAGTTTATGATTGTTGGGTACTTGGGCCCTTAGGGTAAGATCTTAATGGCGAAATTCCGGTATACACCCACACCTTTGCTCCTAAGCAGTCTACTGGCAGAAGCTCAATGCAGCCAAGCCTTAAACTAAACCCCATATCTGAGGGTTTCTGAGCTGAGATCCCAGACCCCCGGGAGGATCTAGAAAGTTCATCCCCTAATTTGGGGCCCTATACTACTAAGGGTACTTTATAGGAATTTGTTCAAGGAACCCGTATTCTAGTTACTAAGGCCCTTATACTAAACCCCCCTAATACCCCTTAGACCCCCTTTAGAGGAACCCCCATTCAGGGATCTACTTTTTGTATCCTCCAGAGGGGGTCGGTCTGGGCCTGCCGTAAGCAAAAAGCGGCCCCCCCGTAGCTCGAATCTCTCCCGACTCGAAGCTCGTAAGCCCTAAACCCGGGTTACTATAGTACCCTTAGGGATCTATAAGGGTTCCTTAAAGGGATCTATAAGGGTTCTATAAAGGGTTTAGGGTTTCCGAAAATTAGGGGCTAGGATGCCCAGTAGGATTATTCCCTTTTTGTAGTGCTAGGTTCCTTATAAAGTTACCCAATACCAAAAAGAGAGGCCTTTTTATTCTTAGGTTACTGGGTATCCTAGATAAGGGGTCCATAGGGGTACTACAATATGGGGTTTCGGGTTTAGGGTTTAATATAGGGGCCTGAATGATGAGAATAGGGTTTGTGGGGTTCCTTAATATAGTTATGGTATAAGCCCGAACATACCCGCCATGAACAATACCCAAACCCTAAACCCTAAACCCTAAACCCTAAACTGAACAATACCCAAGACCTTGAAGCCTCAGCCCCAACCGCTAAACCCTCTTCCCCCCCTCTTCCAAAAGCAACTCAAACCTCCTGAGGTACCCTAAACCCTCAGCCTAAAGCCTAAACTTGAAGCCCCTTATAGATCCCTTAAAGGCACCCTTAAACAACCCTTAAAGGTACCCTTAAATTATAGATCCCTTAAAGGGACCCTTAAAGGAGCAGCTGAGGTCAACTATGAGCTGGTCGGAACGAATCACACAACCATCCGCTTGTGCAACGCCTCTCGGAAGTCTTATGCTCCATGGTTCTTTCAGGTTTTCAAAGGGTAAAGGGAGGGACCGTTAATGGGGACCCCTACACTATAACGGGCTATATAATGGGTTAACAGCTATGTTAGGGGTACATACCTAGGGGTCCTCGTTAAGGGTCCCTCCTTTTACCCTTGGAGGGTTTAGGATACACGTCTCCCCCGGTCATGTGGGTGGTTGCCAAAATTAGGGTCCCTTTTTGGGTCCTTCATATAATACGGCACCTAATATTTTGGGTACCCAAGAAGGGTCCATAATTTTGACAACTACCCATAGTATAAGTAGTACCGGAGGGATCTATAATAAGGGATCTAGGAAGGCCTTTAAAGAGATCACTAGAAGGGCTTTCTAAACCTACAAGATATTCAAGAGGGCCTTGTATGTTCAGTAAAATCGAAGGGCTTTCTCAGGCTTCTACCTGGGATGTAAGAGGCTTTAGGCGTCTTAGCCTTTAAGGCAGGGGTTGTGGGTTTAGAGGGCCTTAAACAGATCTCGATGAGGGTTCTATGTAGGATTTGGAAAGGTTCAGGCACCTTGGTGCTTAAGGGGTTTGTTCATAGGGTTTAAGCATTTGCGGTGCGGTCTGTTGTTGGACTCTTTTCCGGGTTCATGACGAGGTCGATTTGGGTGCACGGAATAACGACATGTTTCAGCCCAGTACAAGAATGAAGACTCAAGAAGTCAAGACGTTGCTTCTACCAACCCGCCACAGCCTTAATTCTTATAAGCCCTGAGCCTAAACCCTACACCCTGCCGGAGAAAAGCTCCTTGGCCCACACTTCTGCTGCGATATATGGGAGTTTCTGAAAATTGGGGACCCCAATATAGTACCTTAAATAGTAGGATCCCTATTTTAAGGACCACAAAATACGGCACCCCTAAATTTGGGAAACTCCCATATGCTTGGAGTTGTTGGTGGTGTCAGTGCTTCCCAGTCGGTGGTCTCCACTGCTGTAGTCTCCTGGCGAATTTTTTCGGTTCAAAATTCAACGGAATACTAACAATGGTATTGCTATGATGGTCTAGGATGCCCAGTAGTACCCTTATTCCCTTTTTTGTAGTCCTAGGTTCCTTACAAAGTTACCCAATACCAGAAAGAGAGGCCTTTTTATTCTTAGGTTACTGGGTATCCTAGATTACTGATGACAGGATCCCCCGCCCAAGACTTAGAACCCTCAGAGACAGCTAAGCCGGAGACCCTTAACCTTCTTTAAGAAAGATCGAAGCCCAGAACCCTAAACCCTGAATCCTGAACCCTAAACCGTGAAACACACAAAAAACAAAGCCTAAACCCTACTTGAAAGGGCCCGGGTTCCTTGGTCTAGGGCTTCATTGTCCTGGGTGTTATCTGGCTCATGGTTTCCAGGGCAAAGAGCTTACTTGGAGGGTCGGGGGACTTAGTAAGTAGGTAAGAAGTAGACTTATAATAAGTACCCCAACAGGGATCCTAATTGGGGTTATGATACTTATAAGTCTATAAAATAACTACATTACTAAGTCCCCGGACCCTCCAAGTAAGTCCTTCCTGAGGATCGAATGACCTACTTCTTGAAGGAGCTTAGGGGTTTAGGGTTTATACAGGGGTTTAGGGGTTTAGGGGTTTAGGGTTTAGGGGTTTAGAGTTTGGCGGTTGAGGGTTTAGGGGTTTAGGGTCTAGAGTTTGGGGGTTCAGGGTTTAGGGGTTTATGGTTTAAGTTTAGACGGTTTTACTCTGAAGAAATCGTGTCATAACCCACTATTTGATAGCCTTTGGGGCTACAGGTTAAGAGTTTACGGTTCAGGGTTGGCATTTTGGAATTTCGGGCCGGGGTGTAGGCTTCAGCGTTTTTGGTGCTGCGGATCAGTGAGATCCGAGGTCAAAACCCTTGAGGTGGAGTCGAAGCACTCAGATGGGACGACTCTGGGCCCTAATTCAGAAACCAGAAACGTGGTCGAAGTAACCATCTATAGTGGTTTAGGGTTTAGGGAATCTATAGCTAATGCTTAGGATGGTTTGCTGACTCTGCTACCAGCAGCCAGCATCTTTAACCGAGTTCCTTAGCTCGGAACCCTATACCCCCAACCCGCGTAAACCCCCAGACCCTTGAACTAAATAAACCCTGTAATACCCTATAATAAGTACCCTATAGATCCCGTTGAAGGGACCGCTGAACCCAGGATTCTGCCAGCCACGACCACTGTTGATGTGAGTGAGTGGGCTCTGCAGCTGAAGTGCCTTTGCCGCTGTTGTTGGGGCCAAACCCCAAGGGACCAGGTAACATGGGGGCCACAACAAGAACCTATGCTATTTTGGGGCTGCCTTATAGTCATAGTATAATGGGCCCTCGGGCTCAAAATTACCCAAAAGCCTGATATAAGATGGTCCCTGAACCCTAAAAGCCTAAAACCCGACACATTTGCACTCGCTACAAAATCCGTGGTCCCCTTATATAGAGGAACTGGGATCGCCAGCAGTGGAAGAATCCTCGCGTCTTCCAAGGCGAAACGGCACTAATGTCTACGTCTTCAGCGATGTAAAGATCTCGCCATGGACGGAGAAGGAGAAGCAAGATTGGTGGTGGCGCGGCGAAAATGGTCAGGATTTGTTTTTTGGAGGTTTTGGAAAGTTTGTTGTGCTTTAGGAAGTGTAGGGTTTAGGATCGCTTGCGGCCTAGGGTACTCTTGTGTGTATCTACACCGTTCGTGATGGACATGTTTTGGGGTTTGTCGGCGGGCACCCATAGTGTTACTAATGTGTCCTTGTCTGGTTGTATCTGATTGCTGATTCCCCCGTATTGGTCAGTTGCGGAGTCTGCAGCCAAAGTCATGTTAGGGTGAAGTACTTGTGGTTTAGCAAGTTGGGTTGTGTCCTTTATCCTAAACCCTAAACTTAGGTTCCGAACAAAAGAGTTTCTGTCGCCCTGAACCTTAAGTTGTAAACCATCTTAAACCCCACTTGGAGGATCCCGGGACTTAGTAAGTAAGGTTATAAGTACCTCAATTGGGGTTATAAGTAATGATAAGTATAGTTGCCTTATTTATAACCTTAGTTACTAAGTCCCATGATCCTCCAAGCAGTTAGCACTCAAACAGCAGGAACCTTTGGTGCTGCTGCATCTACCCTCCCTTCGGCCTCATTGTGGTTGTCGTTGCCTGGCTGCTGATACAAGCGCCTCGTCTTCAGAAGAGAGCCGAAGGGCCCCTGGTTCAGGGTTTTGTTTCGGATCCGGGAGGTTTACGAAAAAAAAAAAGGGTACCTTATTTTAGTTGGGGGTACTATTTTAGGGTCTCCGAATTTTCGGGAACTCCCATTTGAGTGTAGGGTTTCGGAAATCGGGTTCAGGATTTGGGTTCAGGGATAAGGGTTTCGGATATAGGCTTTGGTATTTCGGGCCATGTGGGATTTGGAGTTTAGAGACCTGGGTTTACACTGCTTGCTAGTTCCCATATGCGGCGGGGTCGGGGCGGGGGGTCTTGAAATGTACCTTGTTTTAGGGGTCTTGGAAATGATAAGAGCTGATGGGTTTAGAATGGGTTTCAGCTCTGCAAAACTTGGAGTGTATGGGTTCTGGATATGACTTAGAGGCCCAGGAAACTAAGTAAGGCGGTTATGGGTAGGGTTAGAATTCGGGTAACTCCATTTAGGGTACTTATAACCTACTTACTAAGTCCCTGGGCTTCCAAGTAGATGTAGAACCTGGGGGTTTAGGGGTCGCAGCCGTCTGAAACACCGCCCAATGCTGCGGAACCGCACCCCGCCCCTCCAAGAGCACCCCCACCCACACACTCACAACGCAAACCCTCAACCCTGAACCCTCAACCCTTAGTTAGTATATAATTAGAATAGGGTTTCGTTAAAAGGGTTAAAAAGGGCTACGAGAAGGGCTATTACAAGGATTCTATGTAGGGGCCTGGGTAACCTAGCAGTAGAGTAGGTAACCTTTAGCCTTTTTTGGGTCATGTATAGTCCCTATATAATCCCTACATACCCAAAAAGGTTAACCTTCAGTTCTCCATGATACCCGACAAGTAGGTAAAGCTTAAACCCCCAAGCCTGAAGCTTAAGCCCTAGGAATCTGATTAAGAAACCCTGGGCCGATAACCCGGATGCATAAAAGGAACCCTAATAAAGGCCCAAGGTTTCTTAATCAGGTTCCTACATTAGACCGCTTCCCAGGTTTCAAGAAAACGACGGCCGAAAGAAGTTGATCTTCGCATCAGTGAATGGCCGACATCTGGAGGTCCATCTGGGCGGGAGGGGGGGGGGGGGGGGGGGCGTCTTATAATACTATAGGGACCTTAATTATTCCCAAATTCCTAAAAATAATTTCAGGATAACATACCCCAAAATCCCATTCCATATTATTACGGCCCCGAAAGTAGGGTTCAGGGTTTTAGGGTTTCGGAGTTGGCTTACAAAATCCCTTGGGCCTCCGAGTAAACCTCATCCCCCTTCTATTGTAGAACCCCTCATAGGTCCCCAGAGAGCCCAATACCCCTTAATTCGGCAATATAGCTTAACTCATAATATGAAGCCCTATATAATTTGAGCCATATTCCTTAATTAAGGGGTATTGGGCTTTCTGGGTCCCTTTTTAGGAGCCCTTTAAGGAAACCTAGAAGGAACCTTCGTTACTCGGTCCCGAGGCAGATTGGACACGTCCGGCGCTGTCTGGCATTATCTGGACAAGACGAGGTGGGAGTATCCGAAAATTAGGGGACCTTAAAGGGATCTATAAGGGTTCCTTAAAGGGAACTATAAGGGTTCCTTAAAGGGATCTATAAGGGTTCCTTAACGGGATCTATAAGAGTTCCTTAAAGGGATCTATAAGGGTTCCTTAAAGGGATCTATAAGGGTTTTATCAAAGGTTCTGGGTGTAGAGTTTCCGAAAAGTAGGGGTACCTTATTTGGGGTCCTTATAATAAGGATCCTACTATTTGGGGTACCATAGTAGGATCCCCTTTTTTCGAAAACTCCCAGGTCCAACCAGCGGCTTCTGCTCCACCACACCAAAGCTGCTGAGGAGTTTCTTCTAGTGTTTTAGTGTGCAGGGTACTATAAGATTACTATAATAATGATACTGTAAGAATACTATAAGGATACTGAGCTGCTGTATAGGTCAGTACTTAAGGATTTGTTTTTGTAGTTTTGCTCTTGGGCTTAAATCATGTCAACCCCGAGACTCCTAAATCCTGAACCCACCGCGTAGAACCACCAAAGTCTAAAAACTCCTTAACCCGAAGCCTTAAATCCAAACCCTAAAGCCTGAACCCCTGAACCCTGAACGCTGTAATGCCCTGTAGTACCCAATAGATCCCTTTGTCCAATTCCTAAAGCCTGAACCCCTGAACCCTGAACGCTGTAATGCCCTGTAGTACCCAATAGATCCCTTTGTCCAATTCCTAAAGCCTGAACCCCTGAACCCTGAACGCTGTAATGCCCTATAGTACCCTATAGATCCCTTTGCGGGAACCCATAAGCCCTGACTCCCTTTGGCCTCAGACCCGAACCTTAGACCAGGAGCCTAGCCGCGCCAATCGCATCGAGCTGAATCATGCGCAGTCCCGCCTCCTTGAGAACCCTGCGAAAGACTCGAAGGCTCTCGGTACTTGGTTTCGGGTTTCGGGCTCTAGGAGTTTAGGGTTTAGAGGTTCGGCTTTAGCTTTCTCACAGTTTGTGTAAGGCTTCCTGGACGATCCTATTTATGGGTTCTATAAAGGTTCTAGGGCGGTTGGTTCGATAAGGGCTTTGGGGCTTAGGGATTTACACCTTTATCTGGTTCTGGCCAGAGCATCCAAGCCACAGCAGCAGACTTGCATTAGCTCCAGCCAAGCGTCTTATAAAGAAGAGGCATGAGGAAGCCATACTGGCAGCCGCTGAGACAGGGGCAGGGGTAAGTAGTAATAATCATGCAAGGTCATTCCTAAACCCTAAACCCTAAACTCCGCATTCAAAATCTCAAGGCCCTCTACGAACTTCGGTCCGAGTTGCTTGCGAGGCGAACCCTACGACCCTAATATCCAAGGGTAAAAGGAGGGACCCTTAATAAGGACCCCTAGGTATATACCCTTAATATAGATATTATATACCCATCATATAGCCCATTATGGGGTAGGGGTCCCCATTAAGGGTCCCTCCTTTTCCCCTACAGTACCCTTCTAGAGCGCCTCGTGGCTTAGAGACCCTCTTGGGGAACCCTAAACCCTGAACCCTAAAAAAAAAAAAAAACGACAACCCTCAAAAAGGCATTTCTAGGACCCAGAGTAGGCCCTTATTACCTTTTTTAGTGTTCAGGTTCCCTTATAAACCCCTTTAAACCAAAAAGGGCATCCTTTTTATGCCTGGGTTACTCTTGGGTCTAGGTTTTTTGAAGAAAACGAAAACCCTGAACACCTTGAATCATTAAAACCCTTAGAAGACTTGGGGACCGAGTGCAATCTTATCCAAGTTTGGTATCCTCATGGTAACCGTATAATATCCTTATTGTGGTCTTATAGTATCCTGAAAGTATCCTGATAGTAATCTTCTGGTATCTTTGTAGTAACGTTAGTAGGTATAGAACCCTCGTAGACCTAAGCCTTATACAATATCCTCAGACTGAGTTTATAGCACCCTTATAGTAGTCTTATCCCTTATAGTACTCTTGTAGTATTAGTATCCCTGGAAGTATCCTTATAGTAATCTTCTGGTATCTTGTAGGTACCTTAAAGCACTCTTCTGGCATCCTACAGTGTAATACTATAGCACCCGGCACCCTTAGAGTAATCTTATGGTACCCTTATAGTATCTTACAGTAACCTTATCCCTTATACAAAAATTGGCACCCTGCTCCCTTCGAAGACTTGTGAGGTGCACTTCCGGTCCGGCAAGAAGTTTTCCTTGGACATGGCCGAGTTCATTGGGTATCACACGTACGTGGTGGCCGGGATGTAATGTAGGAACCTGATTAAGAACCCTGGGGCAATTATTAGGGCTCCTTATCTGAATCCTACTATTTTGGGGTTATAGGCCCAGGGTTTCTTAATCAGGCTCCTACATTATAAATACGGTTGCTTTTGGGGTTCCCTTGACGGGCTCCATGGGGGGTTCTATAGGGTATCAGGCTTTAGGTTTGCAGGTTCAGATTTTATTACTATTTGCTTAAGAAACCCCCCAAAAAATAAAAAAATAATCCCTATATTACCCCCATAAGGGGTGATTTTTTTGTTTCTTTGGGGTCTCTTAAGCAAATAGTAGTTTAGGGCTGAGGAGTCAGGCGGGTTCGGCTTTCAGATTTAGGGTGGCACAGGTAACAGGTCTCGCAAGGGGGCTGGCGTTGAGAATTAGTAAGTTGGGAACATGCCACATTCTGTTCAGATCCCAATGCATCTTTCTCTGCTTGCTTTTTGCTTGCAGTTGGTTTCGGGGGTTGTCCTATCTCCTGAGCGCTAAACCTTCGAGCCCGAAGCCCTCTGAACCCTCTTTCTCACCCTTTCTGTTTTTTCTTCGCTTCACCCAAGGTGAAAGACAAAGATAACTCTGTCACCGTCCTCCGTGGCGCTTCCATCACGGAAGAAGATGCTACCAAGCTTTGAAGAGGACTACTAAAAGGGTTTGGGGTTTAGGGTGTTTAAACAGAAGGTTTGGGGTTTCGGGTAAGATTGGTGTAAGGGTTGCAGCGAGGGCGATTGTTATCATGTCGGTTCAAAAGGTGTCTATGAGGGTTACAGTAGCCTTATAAACTTTAAACTGTTTGAACTTATGTATATATTCATATATACATATATATGGTCTATCTCACAGTTGCTGGGCAAGATGGACAATGATACCGATGCAACCCACAGAGCCCTAAACTCTCAATTGCACAAAAACCCTATTCGAATCATTAAGGCCCCTATATCATACTGTAGTACTGTACCTTATAGAAGTCCCCATAGTAACCCTTATAGGACCCTTAACAGACCCTCAATGCACAAGCAACCTGACTCCTAAACCCTAAGCGACCGGTTGAGGTTGAGGCGGGTGTGGCGGACGACACCCAGGAATCCAACAAGGTTGCTCGTCGAAGGTTAGGGATTCTGACGGGGGGCCGTTTAGGGTTCAGGGTTTAGGGTGAACGTTACGTAGGGATTGTGACGAAAGACGGTTCAAGACAGTTTCATAGAGATTTAGGGTTCGGGGATTTTGGAGATTAGTGCTCGTGTTAGAACCTTAGTAGGGGTTGCAAAGAGGGCGGGGCTTTCTCCAAGGCCGTAGTTGTAAAGGGGCTTGAGTGAGCATCAGCAGGGCTGCATGATGGGTTTCTTGGGGGGGGCTTGTTACTGTTTGGCATCGGTTGGAGTCGAATTGCCATACTAGGATGGCCAGTAGTACCCTTATTCCCCTTTCTGTAATCCTATTAATCCTAGGTTCCTTATAAGGGCACCCAATACCAAACAGGGAGCCCTGTTTATTCCTAGGTTACTGGGCATCCTAGCTTAAGATTCTACGGATACACCGTTTGAGGCTGCTGGGCCCAAGGACCTTGTTTTAGCAGGCTTCCGGGCTTAGTGTTCATGAGGGTTTGAGCGGAGGATTTTGGGGGGTTACTGTTCAGAGTCATAACTTAGGGATCTCCAAAGGTGCAGGACCTAAGGATTTGGGTATGGAGTTCTTGTTTATTGATGTTGCAGCTGTTGGTGATTGTTGGTGATGGTGCGTCGTGTCTTCAGTGGTTGTGGAGCTGAACATCGGCTATTGGATGTTGCTGGTTTGGGTTTCGAGGGCTTCAAGCGTAGTCATGAATGTCTCACTGCTAAGTGTCTCGGCGTTCGCAATTGCAGCTTGTCGGGTTCTTCCAATTGGCGAATTCTTATGACAGTTTAATTGTCCGGCATTCGGGAGGACTATGTGTCTTTTGTTAGTTGAGGTTTTTTCCTTTGATATTGTTCAATGTGTTGGCGTTTGGGTTGTGGGCTTGGACTCTGTCTTTCCCTCTCTGTGACAATGGCAAATTGATGTCCTTACCGTAAGGCACTACAGACTCACATTCCAACGACCATACTCTACAAGGCCGTTGGGCCGTTTAACCTACAAGCTCATTATCCTAGATCCGAAACCCGGTGCCTTACTTGGAGGCCCAGGGACTTGGTAAGTAGTTTATAAGTAGGGTTATAATTGGGGTAACTTCATTTAGGGTACTGATAACCCTAATTATAACCTACTTACTAAGTCCCCTGGGCCTCCAAGTACAGCTTGAAGAGCTAAACCCTCACCTACACAGTCGTGCGTGTGCCTTTGTCAATCTCCAGGTGTCGAACAAGCCCACGTCGAACCAAGCTACGACTCCTGGGTGACAGTTTAAGGTTTAGGCTGTTTCAGGGTGTACCTTGAACTGTTTTTGTTGGTAGGGTCCCTCCATGTTCTATATTACGGAAGTATAGTAATAACCAACAAAACTAGGCTAAGTGTTCAGTGTTTAGGGCCTGTCACAGGGTGCCTAAATCAAAAAAAACCCCCCAACCCTAAACCTTAAGCCCTGTGAGTTAAGGGGCCTTTCGGGTTCCAGGGGGCCTAGACCCTTAACCCCTAAATCCCGAAACCCCTAAATCCCGAAACCCCTAAATCCAAAAACCCCGAAACCCCTAAACCCCTAAACCCCTAACCCCCTGTGTTTAGGGCCTTTCGGACTGAGGGTGAAGACCATGCAGCGCCCCTGAAGCCCTCGGCCTGAATACTATAGGGGCCTTAAAAAGTACCTAGTCCTTAGAGTTCCTTTAAAAGGGTCTATAGGGGTTACTATAAGGGATACTGTAAGGGTACTATAATATAGGGGCCTTACCTGGAGCCGAAAAGACCTACCTTTTTAGGGTTCCTTATTATGGTTTCTGGTTTAGGGTTTAGGGTTTAGGGTTTAATATATAGCTCCTTAAAAAAGTAGGTCTTTTCGGCTACAGGTAATAATTACCTATACTATTTTGTTTTGTTTTTGTTGCGGGGGGGGGGGGGGGGTCCTTATTTTAAGTATAGTACAATGGGCCCCGAAAGCCTGTTGAAACTACTGATTATTAAGGCCCCTACTTTACTCAGCCCAGACCGACGGATCCTAGAACTGCGAGCCTGCTTACGGGTGTCGGGTTTCGGGTCGAGGGGTTCTAGGGTCTAGGGGTGGGGTTTAAGGTTTAGGGTTTAGTGTTTTGCGTTTAGGCTTAGACCCCCACATGCCGATATAAACACGGAAAAAGACTGTGCGGGGTTCAGTGTTTCGGAGCTTAGGGTTCAGTGGTTCAGGGGTTCGGAGTGGGGTAAATCCTAGACCCCTAAATCTGAAGCACGAACCCCTACTTAGAGGCCCAGGGGACTTAGTAAGTAGGTGATAAGTAGAGTTACTATTGGGGCAACTCCACTCAGGGTACTTATAACCCTATTTATAACCTACTTACTAAGTCCCTTGGGCCTCTAAGTAACCATAATCCCTGCCTTATAGAACCCTTATAGATCCCTTTAGAGGAACTCTTTAAAGAGCCTGACTACTTACTAAGTCCCTTGGGCCTCTAAGTAGACCTTACGTTAACATCCAAGCCCTGAGCTTGTCACCTTCAGCCCAACAGGCCCCTACTGTCAGACCACTGAGTCTTAAGCACCAACCCTTATAGTAGACGCCAGAAAGTTGGAACATGGATTTAGGAGGAATAGTGCTAGGATCCCCTATACTTTACCTTAAGGGCATGGGGATAATGATGTTCCAACTTTCCGGCTTCTACTGTAAGCCTTGCCTAGGATGCCTAGTAGTACCCTTATGCCCTTTTTGTAGTACTAGGTTCCCGAAACAGTTACCATGTACCAAACAGGGAGCCCTTTTTATTCCTAGGTTACTGGGCATCCTAGTTGCAGTAACATCCTACAGCCCTGCAGCGCCACCGGCCCTCCTCTCAGACCGCTGGATAGTGAAGACACTGAGTAGCAAACGCTCTTGCTTGTATTCTTTGAACAGGGTTATTTAGTGTAATTGCTTCTCTGGGGGTTTAGGGTTCTTGCTTTGGGATCTAAGTTTGAAGTTTAGAGGTTTGGGTGTAAGTGGGATCAGGATCTAGGGTGTTGGAGAAGCGTATGATTAGTTTCGAGCTTCAGAGCATACTTGAAAGAACAAAAGAGGCCTTCAGAGACGCTCGATGCCAAGAGACTGCCCAATCCGACCCACGAACCCCTACGTTCGCAGGGTTCTCCAGCACATAGCTGTTGGACAGCTAGACTGTTTGGGGTTGTCATGTTAGTTACTGTGGCGGGCCATACTATGATATACTACTTATATACGGACTGTACCAGAACTTTCAGAAGGCTAGTAGTTGGCCATTGTGTGGTCATGCCTGAGAAATGACTTTTCAGTTTACCTGACCTTAGTTTACCAACCCGAGAGGTTATGTTTTTGGCGTCTTGGGTCTAGGATTTTTGTTCTGGGTCTAAGGGCCCATACGCAGAGCCCCGGGAGGATCCAAAAAGTAGATCCCTTAATGGGGGTTCCTATACAGTACCCTTAGTAGTATATGGGCCAAAAATTCGGGGATCTACTTTCTAGGTCCTCCCGGGGGTCTGGGTCACCATCTTCCCAAAGCTTTAAACCTTAAAACCCTAAAACCATAAAACCATAAAGCCCTAAACCCTAAAACCTAAACCCTAAAAGCCTAAACCCAAAAAACCGTAAACCCTAAACCCTAAACTCTAAAGCCCTAAACCCTGGGTCTAAGGGCCCATACTGGCAATAAGCTCTTCATCCGAGGTCAAACGAACCGCCCAGCAACGAGCCTTCATCCGACCGCGCGGCGTCCAGGGACTGCTGATCGCGGTGTACACATTATCATAGGAGGCCCAAAGGGGTTTTAGCCTATGGAGGTCTAGTGGGGATTAGGGTCCCCAATAATAGGGTTCATATTAAGGAATCCCGACCCCAAGAATCTTAAACCCCACTTTTGGCCTCCCATCAGATCGCGGTGTACACATTACGTCTTCACCGCAATACGGTGTTGCATGTGTTCTCTATCCATAGACCCCATAGTAGTCATATATAGAAACCTGTAAGGTAATCCCACAAAGGAACTACCATGAGGCCTATTGGTAGGTTGATGTGTTTCTACAGGGCTGTTCTACAGGTTACGAGATTGTAGTATCGACACTAAATCCTCACGGCAGCCTTAGCGAATATGAGGCCTTGAATCTGAATCTTTTGTCATACGGCTTAGCGCTCTCTACTTTGTAGCATAGCGACCCAGACAACCACGACGTAGATTGGCCAGAGACCACGGAGTGGCAGCAGCAGCGGCAGTCCATCTCGAAAAAGCCAGCTGCCTGAAACGTATAACCCTCTAAACCCGAAGCCTTAGAAGAAGTACCGTCTAACATCGTGATGACACCGCCGTTTTCATCTGCAGATGCATGCACCTTGTTCAATCATTTTCGGGAGCGTATGGGAGGGGCTCTGACTCACAGGCATGGGCGGCTCATGATACCTGGCAACCAACCACTAGGATGCCCAGTAGTACCCTTATTCCCTTTTTGTAGTCCTAGGTTCCTTATAAAGTTACCCAATACCAAAAAGAGAGGCCTTTTTATTCTTAGGTTACTGGGTATCCTAGACCATCATGATCTTTACGCGCCCTGCCACTGCGATGTTCGTGACAATGACCATCACCTCGTCACTACGTCCCAACCCCGCCGCCACCACGACGGACCATCACAATCGTCATCATCAAGATCTGCCTTAGAGCCATCAGACTAATTATCATCCTAGTAGTCGAGTAGGCAACCCTTAGCCTTTCTGGGTAGTATAGTCCCAAAAAACCCATATATATATATAGAGATGTATTCAAAAAGGTTAACCTTAAGTTCCCCATGATACCCGACAAATTAGGTCATAGTTCTAAGGATAAGAACAGCTCTGACTCTAGCTGATGAATACAGCTATGGCTGTTACTCTGTTCGATGGCTTTCTAAGACCCTCAGCCAACCTCAGAACCTTGAACCCTAAACCCTAACCTTGGGGCTTCAACTACTAACCATTGATATTGCAGGAGCTAAAGAGCCAGGGATGATGATAATCGCTATTAAATAGGGAGCTAAAGAGCCAAGGGAACCCCAAAACCACTGGTCAGACTAGGTCAAAGTAGGTACTCTTTAGAGACTTTAGACCCCCAAGTAGGTACTATTTGTATACTTGGAAGCCTAAACCCTAAGCAGCAGGCCTCGAAATCTGCTGATTGTCAGAGCCCCCGCAACCTGGTCGAAGACCAGATTGTTTCTGCACCCGCCGGCTGCTGCTCCGGAAAAAAGCGTTGAGGGGATCTATAAGGGTTCTGTAAAGGGTTTAGGGTTTGGAGTTTCCGAAAATAAGGGGGTACCTTATTTGGGAGTCTAACTGGGACCCCAGGTTGAAGCTTGCCCGTAGTAGCCCCCATAGTAGTTCCCTTTTTTGGGGAGTACCTTCATAGGTTTCTAAATATGAACCCCAAAGAGGAACTGCTATGGGGCCTATGGGTAGGGCCCCACACCATGAACCCCTAGCGGCCCTAGCGCTTCCCAACTAGGGTTTACAGTAGAAGCCAGAAAGTTGGAATATCATTATCGCAACCCCTTTAAGGTAAATTATAGGGGATCCTACCATTAATCCATATTCCAACTTTCTGGAGTTCCCTATATAGGGTTTAAATCCTTTCACGGTAGCACCCCAGATCCCCCAGAAATGTCCTTGGCTTGTTCGAGAGAGGGAAATCTGAAGGGGTAGCCACGCACCTAGAACGAGCCTAGAGCCCTAACCCGAAACACCTTCATAACTTTCAGGGACCTAAATAATTAACGACACTATTTTGGGGGTTCCTTACTATGAGTATAGTAGAATGGGCCCCAGAACCTTATTCTATTGATTAAGACCCCTATATCATAGTACCCTGATACTGGCCCCCATAGTAACCCTTATAGGACCCTTCAAAGGAACCCTATTCTAATTATTAAGACTTTTATATATTAGACATGCATGCCAGGATACCGATCACTTGCGGACGGACATCTTCAAGATGTGGGCCGCCCCAGTCGCTTCTGCATTCGGTTGACTTTGCGTGGTAGAAGCTCGAAGACTCTTAAACCTCAGCCCTACCTAAGTTCAAAGGGGTACTATGAGATTTCGTTTAAGAGCTTCTGCAAGGATTCTATGAGAGTTTGGGGGTTTACGGCTTACGTGTATGCAGCATCCAAGCGGGCTTAGTAGGTAGGGTGTAATTGGGATTGTACGTATCCTAGTTGTGGTATCCCAATTGCAGGTTTCAGCTACGTCCCACTATCCTTCAAGGAGAGCTTTTTGGACGTTTGGAGTAAGCACTGTCCATAAACCCTAACCATAATTTAAAACCTTCAGCCGTCTACACTCTAAACTCTAAGCGCTTATCCCTAAGACTAACCCGTCCAAACCCCAGACCCTAATGCTCGAGCCTAACATTAGTCCTATTTGGGAGCTTCCGAAAAGAAGGGACCCTAATATAGTGCCCTAAATAGCAGGATCCATATCATAAGGACCCATATTATAAGGACCCCAACTAAGGTATCCCCGAATGTTCGGAAAATCCCATTTCAGAACAGCGGCTTCGACTCGGGGGTCGACCTAGGATCATACGCGGTGGGGTTTTAGTAAGGAGTAAGGCTCTTTAAAGAGTTCCTTAAAAGGGATCTATAAGGGTTCTAGAAGCGAGGGATTATGGTTACTTAGAGGCCCAGGGGACTTAGTAAGTAGGTTATAAGTAGGGTTAGAAGTACCCTAAATGGAGTTTCCTCCAGTTCTAACCCTACTCATAACCGACTTACTAAGTCCCTGGGCCTCCAAGTAACCCTAAAACCCCTCCTTATAAGAACCCGTTGTAGCTCCCTTAAAAGAGCCCTTTAAGGAACCTTAGTTACTAAGTCCCTGGGCCTCCTAAGTAAGGGCTTCGAATGATGGTGCTGGGTCTTCGTTGGCATGCTTAGGGCTTCAGGATCAGGGTGCAGGGGGATGGGATTGGCCTTCAATCATCGAAGTTGCAGGGTCTAGAGATTGAGTCTCTGCTATCTTGCACTCACATGCATTCTTGCAACGGTACTCGTGTGTCCGCTGTGTTGCGATGAGCCCTAGAACCTAAACTCTGCGACACAATGAACTTACTTTGTCGTGTCGGCACTGCCGCAGGATCTCCAAAACCTGCCCCGCTGGAGACTACCATGGAACCTGAAACGGGACCCAGCGCAGATGGATCAAGATGCCTGGATACTTGCCAACAGCGTTTGCTACTGTTCCTGAGTTTTCTTGTTTGTGGAGCGAAATACACCTCAAAGCTCAAAGACCATCTAACTGTTGAGGCCCCTTCTAGTACTGTCGTTTGAAAACAGGATCATTTGGGGTCCCGCTGGCCAGTACGGCTAAACACGTGCCGTTTCGCTCCCTCAATTCTTAAGCTTAAGCTTGATACCCTACTACTACTACTACTACTACCACTACTGCTGCTACTACTACTACGACTACTGCTACTACTCCTACTACTACTACTACTACTACTACTACTACTACTACTACTACTACTACTACTACTACTACTACTCCTGCTGCTGCTGCTGCTGCTGCTGCTGCTCCTACTGCTGCTGCTGCTACTACTACTACTACTACTACCACTACTACTACTACTACTACTACTACTACTACTGCTGCTGCTGCTACTACTACTACTACTACTACCACTACTACTACTACTACTACTACTACTACTACTACTACTACTACTACTACCACTACTACTACTACTACGACTAGACCCGAAACCCTGAACCCCTGAGTTCCGTGCCCTGCCCTAGACCCTAAACCTTCTAGGATCCCCAGCAGTGCCCTTATTCCCTTTTTGTAGTCCTAGGTTCCTTATACACTTACCTAATACCAACAAGGGATCCCTTTTTTTTATCCTAGGTTACTGGGCATCCTAGCCCCTAAAGGCCCGAGCTCACCCTCTGCAACCCAAGCCCTGCACCCGCAGCTCCGGGTTTCCGCGAGACCTGGCCGAGGCAGACCAACTTGGACATGGGTGTGAAGAAAAACAAGGACCTGGTTAAGGGTGTAGGGTTTAGGGTAGAGTTAAGGTGCTTGGACCCGGTCACTGTGGTCATCCCAGTAATTAGAATAGGGTTTCTTTGAAGGGGTTTATAAGGGCTACGATAAGGGCGATTATAAGGATTCTAATGTAGGGGCCTTAATAACCTAGTAGTCGAGTAGGCAATCTTTAGCCTTTTTCGGGTAGTATAGTCCCTACATACCCAAAAAGGATAATCTTTAGTTCCCCATGATACGCGACAAGCAGGTCATAATTACTTATGACCACAGTTAAGTTACTTACAATCTTGTTCCTAAGTCCCATGATCCTCCAACTAGTCCTTCCGGGGAACACAGTGTTTGGCTGTGTGGGAACTTCCAACCTTGGTTTAGGGTTTAGCGGTTTAGAGAAGTTGGGTGTTTGTAGGAGGTTGGATGGTTTAGGGTTTAGGATTTGGGTTTAGAGATTTGGGTGTCCAACTTCGTGTGTATAATACCTGATGGTACCCTCTAGATTCTAGATTCCTCCAAAGGAAGTGTTAAAAATTCCGTTAAAGGAAACCCTATACCCAAACCTTTACCCCCAGTAGTTCGGATCGTAAACTGTTCACTTGGGATCTTCAGTACAGAACTATGTTCGAACCCCTCAGCTTGCTTTGCTTTCTTCCTTAGCAGCGGTGTAAAGGGTCTTCGGCTCTTTTTAAATAGTTTCGGGATCTGAACAGCCGGTCATTGCACACCCCCTTGTAGTCCCTACGCAGCTTAACTGCGCTATACCCCAAACCCCGAGTCAATAGCCCCCTTAACAGTCCACTGGCCTACACTGCACGTCTCTCCAGGACCACCTCGATTTCGAAGTAAAGCGGCTGGAGCCGCTTGACCGACAGTGGGTGGTTTAGGGCTTGGGTTCATGGGCGTCGCTGTGAGAAGTTTAGAGTTTAGACCTAGGAGTTGACCTAACCACGATTTCAACCCTAAACCGCGGGGCTGAGAGGTGTCGGGCTTGGCGTGCAGGAGTTTAGGGCTTTGGTTTAGGAGTTTAGGGTGTGTTGGGGTTTAGAAGTTTAGGGGAAGGACTAGTTAACTCACAGGATTTCATTCGCTGCTCTTAACAGGGGCCCTGGCAACGCAAAGCATACTGCCGCCCAGCACCCCGGCACGCCAGTGAACCCTGTCAGCGGCAGGGGCCTAAATAGTTACCAATACCATTTTAGGGGTTTCCTTATTATATCTTTATTATAATGGGCCCCGCAACCCTGTTCTAATTAACGCATGAGGCCGTAGCGTTTCAGACAGAGACCTTTGAGAAGCCGCTTCTGAGAAGCAGAAATCCCGTATATCCTTTACTTATTGGGCTTCATTATCAGGGGGTCCTATAGGTTTAGGGGGGCTTCATTATAAGGGGTCCATATGGGACACCCCCCATCCTAATTTTTCTCATGTGCCTTTTTTTGTGGCCCTAATAAGTGCGCCAGCCAACTCCAGCGAAACGAGGGCAAGGACATCTGGATCCAAAGGCACCGGTCGCCTGAGGACAGGGCCAAGAATCGAGCCCTTGTGAGTTTGAAGGCATTCATCTTCTTCCGACATCCCGTCATGTCGCCCGCCCGACGCTGACAAGGCCGCAGGTCCAAATCTGAAGCCGACGCAAAAAAAAGTAATAATAATTAGAAATAATGTTAGAACATACAAGATGAAGAATTATGAAGGCATATAGACATGCTTATAACAGCTCATGACTCCGCAGAAGTGCACGCAGAAGGCAGGTCTAGTGTCTGGTTCTTAGTAAATGGGGAAATGGATCCCTATCCTAGTCCCTTACCCCAGGCATCTAAGGACTCATATATCAAGGCCTTTGGGGCCGAAGACCACATCATATAAGGCTTTTGGGCTACTTTGATGCGCAGGGTCAAGGTCCCCTATAGCAGTCCCAATAACCCATTCCCCCATTCATTTCCTACTGAGAACCAGACGGTCTATTCGCCATGGTGAGCGGTTGTGCTGCTTTGGGCTCAGGGCTTATAGGGTTTACAGGGTTCAGGGTTTATCGGGTTTGTATGGCTTCTAGCTTCTAGGGTTTAGGGCTTGGAGGGTTTATTGCGTCAGTTTTCTGCAGTAGGGCTTTGCAAAACCAAGATGTCGTGCGCAGTGAGAATGAAATCTGTGGCTAAGCCTGAGAACACAAAGCCCTGGCTAAACCCTCAACAAACTGCAAATCCAAACCGTACCCATGTAATGACCACCCCTCATACAATCCCTTACTCTAGAACCCGCTCAAGACACCTTTGTACTAACCGTAGAGTAACCTGTCCTTCCAACCCGTACTCGGAACCCCTCTTGGAGTGACCCTTATAGGACGTCTTGAAGGAACCCATTATTCCGCGCTTCGCCGTGACCCTTAGAGGAAGCCTTGCAGCACCCTTCATTCAAGCAAGTGTTAGAGGAGCCATTCAGCAGCCTGGAAGGATCCCATTTTTGCATCCCTTGGAGGAAACCTCATCTTTAGTACTGGAGGGGCCTTAGTCATTACCTACTATACTATTTTGGGGGCTCCTTATTATAACTATATTATAAAGGGCCCCCAAAACCTATCCTAATCATTAAGGCCCCTATATTACCTCGAAAGACACCGTGTTCTTTTCTTGGCATTGGTTGGGTGGCTCAGGTTGGGCATCGATCAGGTGAAGGACGCTGGAATTCGGATCGGTGATGCAGGGGGACGGATCATAGTGTCCCGATGAGGTACTAAAAGGGGCTTTAACAAGGTACCATTCTATTTCTTGGGGGGTTCCTTAGTATAGTTATGGTATAGCTACGGGCTCCAAAACCTTATTGGGATTCCTTACTATAATTCTAGTATAATGGGCCGCAAAACCTGACTCTAATGATTAATGCTCTAGATTAAGGTAAAAGCCAGAAAGTTGGAATATGATGATCCTAACCCTTCTATGGTAAATTATAAGGTATCCTACCATGAAACCATAGTCCAACTTTCTGGAGTTCCCTATAGAGTTATTCGAGTCCCTGTGACTGTAGGGAGCTTTAAAGGGTTTCGTCTCAAGGCTTCAGGGGCGTAAATGCACTAGGATGCCCAGTAGTGCCCTTTTTCCCTTTTTGTAGTCCTAGGTTCCTTATAAAGTTACCCAATACCAAAAAGAGAGGCCTTTTTATTCGTAGGTTACTGGGTATCCTAGTGTAGGAACCTGAGTAAGAAACAGTAGGATCTATATGGGTGGTCGTCAAAATTCATGTCCCTTTTTGGGGTACCCTAAATAATAGGTGCCGTATTATGATAGGGACCCAAAAAGGGACCATAATTCTGACAACCACCCACATAAGGAACCCTAATAGAGGCCCAAGGTTTCTTAGCCAGGTTCCTACATTAGGGGTTTAGGGTTTTGAGCTTCTGAGCTCAACAGGGCTTGCATTCCCAAACCCTACATTTAACCCCTGTCGGCCCAAGCCCTACTACCCAGTAGACCCGAAGCTGCGCGCTCGGGTACAACCCCAACTCCCTCGGAGCCGCGGGCCCGAAGCGAATTGAGAGGATTTAGGGGTTAAGGGCGCTCGGGGGGTTTAGGCACCAGGGTTTAGGGGTTTAAGGGTTAGGGTTGTGCGGTTTAAAGGCGAAGAACCCTGAGACCCAGCAAAGTCTAGCGACGGTGGAGGCCCGCATCAGGTCCGATCATCTTTTCTAGCCGATTCTAGCCTGTAATGTGAGAGTGCTCCGTTGGTTCCATAAGTCCACAACAGGCTTTACTTTTGACTCAGATGGAATGTAGAGGAATGTAGTACGAGGATGTGTATGTTTTTCAGCGAAGTTCTAAAGTTCGCAACTGGAACTTACTCTGGGCTATCGGAGTGTCAGGGTTTGGGTCCAGTTTTGGAGACTTTGGAGGCATTTCGAGTTTTCGATCGCTTGCAACTAGTACTATTTTGGTGGTTCCTGATTATAACTAGAGTATATTTGGCCTTACAATCCCTATTCTAATCATTAAGGCCCCTACATCAGTCTGGATTTTTTGAAAGGAGGACTAGGATTGTGGATCTTATGTTTGCTCCTGTGCCCGGCCGCAAAAAACTCTGACTTGCAGCGCTTGATGGCTGTATGACTTATTCGATGAATTACGGAACCTTCATTCAAGTTTTTGTGTTTTACATTTCTTGGCTTGGAGGTTTCCGGGTTAAGGGTTCAGTTGCGTTAGAGTGGCTGCATTAAGGCTGTCATCTGTGTGTGTGTGTTGTTCGCCTCTTTGGATATTAAGGATCTCAACAGCTGGAGACGGATTCCTTTCGCCAGATTTGCAACATGATTTTGTGTTTCCGAGCCACGAAGGAAACCCTTACTGCTGATGGACAACATCCTGCATTACTCTTTATAAGGAATATACCATAGTTCCCATAGTTTAGAGTCCTTAGGGTAATGCAGGATTTGTATCATCAACCCTAAACCCTAACCCCTATAGATCCCTTAAAGGATGTTTTATTGCTCTTTGTACGTATGTCTACCGACCTTTACTGTTGATTGGCTCAAGACAAAAAGTGTGTGTGCGATTCGTGCTATCGTGCACTATCTATAGGTTATCAGCCGTAGCCTAGTCGAGCCATATCCTTTTCCAGGTCGCTCCTGAAATCCTGCAGGTAACACCGGAATGGAGGACACAGCCGAGCCAGTGCCAACGGGTATCTCAGATATGACATTGGCAACTGATGAAGCAAGTGATCAAGGATTTCCTCCATTAATGCCAACAGGTGATAGTCATTTGCCGAATGACGGACTGGCAATCATGTCACACGATGCAGCGCACTCTCCCAGTGATTCGTTGCTTAGAGAACGTGTCCCTACTACGCCAGTGTCTATTGCACCTGTTACTCCGGTAGGAATACCTGGACCATTGGCTCATGCTACGGGCTTGCCCAGCCCATCAACACCAATCTATTCACCTCACTATCATCAAGCAAGCCTTACCCAGAACCTACAGGTTGTCGATGCCAGGCAGTTGACGATTAGTCAGGATGCATCTCCGATGGTCGCCTTTGCCGCCGAGGCACGACACAATCAGATTATCGGCGAATTGGGAGCAGAACATCAGGAGCAGCTCCGTGCAATGTACAATAGTGGGCTTGCAGAGGTGAACAAGTTGAGGAACGAATTAGGCAATGCTAACATTGCGTTGTCGATTCAGAGGTCTGAAATGGGTCAAGGTGAAGTTCGTTTCCAACAAACCGAAAGCGCGAGGGAACTCGCTGTCATTGAAGCCAATCGGCAAGCGGAAGCTGCCCGTAGAGCTTTAGAGGAAGCTAACAGCAATGCCAGGCGCCTTCGCGAAGTGGAAACTTCTGCCCGTCAGAATGATGCAATGCGATCCCATGAGGTCGCTGACATGTCATCTCGGATGGACGAACTGATGAGGCAGCTTCAAGCCCAGCGTCAGCAGACAGAAGTATTGATTCAGCAGAATAGTGCATTGAGCTCCAGGGTTCGAGATTTCGAAGCTAGAGATGCTGCTTTGAGGATTCAAGAGGGAATTCCGCAAGGGCCTCCACCCGGCATTCCCGTACATCCCATTTCCACCCCGAAGCATGGAGGTGACACTCCTACAGAACAGGCGACGGACGCCGGGAGGCGAACTCCTCCAGATGGCTTCAGCCCAGGTGGCGGTGGTGGTGGCGGCGGGCCTGATGGCAACGGCCCCAGCGGAGGCGATGATGATCATGATCGTCGCAGTCGGAAGTCTAAGAAGGATAAGAAGCATAAGAAGAAGAAGTCGCGCAGGCGACGTAGGCGAGATCCTTCGTCTTCCCCTTCTAGCTCTAGCAGTAGCTCTGATGATTCGAGTTCTTCATCATCCCGCATTGATAGGAAGACCATGAAGAAGCTCCTTAAGCGGATGAGTGAAGCTGTTGGTGACCGTGGTGAAAAACCCGAGAAAGACGACAAGCCCAAAGTGAAAGAAGCTGAGAAGATTACCTTCCCCAAGTTCCCGCAACCTGAGAGCTACAGGAATTGGAGGCTAAGGGTTCGTGAAGCGGTCGTTGCCGCATCCGATCGTCCTGATGATGCCTTTTCGTGGCTTTCCAAGGTTTGGGAGAAAGATGTCAAGGAAGAAGATCTTCACGACCCGGAAGGGTTCGTCACTTTGGATGCTAAGGTACTGTCGGCGGTCACTAACATCCTGGAAGGTGCCTTTGCGAGACAGGTTGATACCTTCAAGGAGCGAGAGGCAAATGCCGGGAGACTTGTTCGGGGACGACAAGTGCTTTTCAAGTTGGATAATTTCTTTTCTACCAACGCACAGCATGGTTCAGTTTACGAGTTTGAGGATCTCTTGTCAGTCAAGATGGTCAACGAGAAGCTTGAGACTTTCATGCACAACTGGGAAACTGTATTGTCAGGGATCCAGACTACCCCCGATGAGAACTTCCTTGAGCCCTTGTTCCATAGGCAGATTAAGCGCTTCAAAGACCTCGCACATGATATCAACATCTATGAAAGGGCAACACCAGGGCAGCCAGAGAAGACCTACAAGTTTTTGTATGATGCGGCTACGAACTACTTGAGTCGCAAGCGTCTTGAACGCAACCGGGAACGGATTGCCAAGCAATATGGTGCTGATGGGAAACCATCTGCCCCCGCTCCCAAGAAGAAATTCGTCCCTAAGGGATTTTGTTTCGAGTTCGTACAGAACGGTAAGTGTAGCAAAGGAGACAAATGCAAGTACAAGCATGAGATCCCTGAGAAGAGAGGCCGGTCGCATTCAAGAGGTGGAGGTCGCGCTCAGTCACCGTCTGGCAACGACGGAAAACCCAGAGAATGCAAGTTCTGGAAGAGTGGGCGATGCAACAAAGGAAGTGCATGCAAGTTCCTCCACACAGGCAAGCCAAGCGCTGCTGCGGCGTCACAAGGCGGCTCTCAGGGGGGAAGACCAGGAAGCGCAGGCAGCAAAGGGAAGGAAAAGAAGGAGAAGAAGGGCCATCGCAAATCGCGGTCCAACTCGAAGGGCTCTCAGGGGTCGAAGAACTCTAAGGGCAGCAAGGGTTCGGACAAGCGAAAGGGTCCAAAATCACCAAAAGTTCCCGCTGCGGTCTGCATCCTAGGGGCATTGATCGCCGCGGCATCGGGTACCCAAGCCGACGCTGCTTATGCATTCCGGAAGGATATGCCCGATAGTCGTGGTGACATGTCAACTACCTTTTCATGTGCGTTGCCAGCTATTCGTTTCGACGATAATCCGATGCTCATCAACATCCCACCTGACGGAAAGATGTTGCCGACAGAACCCGAGACACGGAGGTACTTGAAGTCCTTCGGTGGGGAACCTCCTAGACCCAGTCAACAGGACGTCAAAGATGCACTGACGACTGCCAGGATGCTTAAAGCAACTCTGGATGCATGTGGTTCCGGGATAAGGGCTAAGTGTGGTTATGAGTGTGACACGGAATTCGGTTGCGACAAGTGCATTCCCAAACACATTGAAGCTACCTGTGTTGCAGCTACCAAAGCGGAAGCCCAGCAGCTCGACATCGAGTGGATCGCGGACACCGGCAGCGCCCAGGACCTGGTTTCACAGGGGGATCTCGGATCTTTGAGAAGCCATCGTTCCCAAAATCCTATCGGTATTGTGACGGCTAATGGGCCTAGCACTGCTGAGATTCAGTCCAACATCGCAGTTCCTTCACTTGGAATTGACAGCCATCCATACGTGTTGCCTAGCACACCCTCTGTTCTATCCGTTGGTTACAGATGCATGGAAGAGGGATTCGATTTCGTTTGGAGATCGGGTACAAGACCTTACTTTCAGTCACCCAGCGGTGAGAGGATATATATGGATGTGAAGGATTACGTCCCCTACCTCAAATCGTGGAAGGAAGGTGTGGCGGTACCTGCGAGGCGGAAGCCCCAGCCCGATGAGGACCATAAGAATGATTTGGTTCTTTCGCTTGAAGAGGCTGAGGGATATGCAAGGGAACTTCGGATCAACGGCGACTTTCGTCTGGGATCGTGTTACAAGCTTTTGAAGTTGACACCATTCAAGTCTACAGGGAATTCGAGGAGAATGAAAGCTACTGAAAATGACGACTCGGTTGAAGATGAAGTTGGCAGGGACTACATAATCATCGGCGCTTGGATTTTTAGCGGTATGACTGGAATCACAACTTCTGTAGACCGTCATGCTCAGCTGACCAAGTACCTGATCGCCTTCATGAAGTCAAAAGGGTTGAAAGATACCTTTACGTCCATCTGCATTAACCATGGTGGCAATCGCCGGGTGCATCGAGACTTGTTGAATCATGATGACTCGCTCAATCACACTCTAGGCGTTGGAAGCTATCAAGGTGGTTCCGTATGGGTTGAGCAGAAGGGCGACTTTCCCGTATTTCGCAGAGAAGGTGTAGCTGGTGGGAAATCAAAGTGCGTCAAGGTTACGGGGGGACTCGAAGTCAGTGGAAGAGTCTATGACACTCATGATCGAATGTTATCCTTCCACCCCAAGCCTTGGCATCAGGCACAGCCTTGGACAGGTGATCGATGGACCATCACTGCATACACGATTCGGGATGTAGACGGTTTGAGCTGGGAAAAGTCAAAGTCGCTAATGTCGCTTGGGTTTCAGTTGAATTCATCAAGACGGTTACCATTTGTTCCATCATTGATTACCGGCGACAGCGACGAAGAGCTCACTCTTTACGACTTTGTGAAGAAGAAGAAGAAGGACGAAGCCGAGAAAGATAAGGTTCCTGAACCAGCTCCTCCCCTGATGAAGAGTAAGGCCAAGTCTAAGCCCAGTAAGCCTGATGCCGGGCGGAAGCCTGAGCCTGAGCCTGAAAAGGGTGCAGACATGTCTGATCTTTTTGATATTGAGGAGCATTTCGATGAAGCCGGGGAGTTGAAAAGTGCCGAGGATCAGCCACCTCCTCCTCCTGTTCCTGCTGAGGCAGATAAGCGTTCGAAGGGAGAGAAGGTTTTACGTGAGGAAGCTAAGAGCAAACATCATCTGATGACACACGTCCCAAAGAATCCCTTTTGCCCTACATGCCAAAGAGCGAAGATGTTCAAGCCGCCTTCGTATCAAACGAATGGTTCCAGATTCATTGAGTCTGAGAAATTCGGCGACCATCTCACTGGGGATCATCTCATTGTCTACCGTGACAACGCAGAAGAGATTAAGGATTCGCGATTAGCTTTGGTTATGAAGGACGTGGCAACGGGTTTCCTCGCGGCCTATCCATCCGGACGGAAGTCTCAGGACGAGTGCTACAAGGCGCTCAACCACTTTGTTGCTAACAATGAAGATGTTGGCATCTTCTACAGTGACAATGCTCCTGAAATTAATGGGGCAGTAGAAGAAATGGGCTGGAAGCATGAACATTCTAAGGCCTATATCCATCAGTCCAATGCCATGGCTGAGCGTGCGATCAGGACTGTTACGGAAGGCACCAGAGCGAATCTGGAGCAAGCCGGTCTGGCTCATGCTTATTGGCCCCATGCCTTACAACATGCTTGTGTTGCCCATAACATAAGCCATCCCAATGGTACGAAGTACTCTTCATGGACTTTGCGGTTCGGCAAGGACTTTCATGGGCCATTGATTCCATTTGGTTGCCGAGTAGACTACTGGGTCGGTACTCGAGAACAGCGGAAGCTGCAAGGGTACGAAAGATTTGAGAGTTCATCAGAACATGGGATCTTCATGGGTTATCACTTCCAACCTGGAATGCGTTGGCGTGAAGAGATGTTGGTAGTTCCGATATCCAAGCTGAATGGAAGTGACTTCTACGAGTACCACAAGCCTACGAAGGTGCATCAATTGAAAGTGCCTGACGGTGAGTTCACTTTCCCCATGGTCGAACGTTATAACCGTGTCCGAGACGGGCTAGCGCATGACGCCATCGAAAAGCCTGTCGTTGAATCTCTGAGAAATCAGGATGCGGAACCAGTCGTAGATCCTCCTGGGGACGGTGAGGCTGAAGTAGAAGTACCTAAAGTTATTGATCCCAAATCAGGTGACCTCGTTGAGTTGCCCGAAGGCGGACGATTCTATGACTCCAGTGGAACTCTTGGTAGGAGATATGGAGGGTCCAGAGGTTCAAAGAAGCCGGATAGCATTCCTTCTCATATATGGGTCAATTTGTCCAAGAGGCAGAAAGATAAGGCGATAGCGGAAGAAGCATCGAAAATCGCTAGGGAATATCATGAAGGTGCCGATCGGGCAGGTGGCGGATCATCGAGTTCAAGGCCTGCTGCAACGCTTGGTGCGTCCCGAGATCGATGGGAGATCAAGGGAAACAAGTTAGTGCGGTATCATTGTGTTCCTAGACGAGAACTTTTCTCTCCTGATATCACCGATTGTCCCATTCCCACTTCTAGGATAAAGCCGACAAGGATCTTGCAGATCATCCCCGTGGGAACAGAGGACACTGTTGCTGATGAAGATGATTGGACAAACCCGCGAAGAAGGAACAAGAAATTGCCTTTTAGATGGACCGGCAAAACCATCTTTGAGATCCTACCCTTGGGTACTAGCAGTGCTCATATCGTGGGGGAACCCTATCCGACTATGCCAACGATCCCACGTAGTGGGGAACATCGCGAAAAGATTGGTAATGACCACCAGTTCACCCAATCTGAGCTGGAAGTTATGATGGCCTTAGTGGCTCGTCCGGTTGGCAAGAAGGAGCTCGCGGAGAACAATGACGCCCAGAAATCACTTGACGTGGAATGGGACAAGTTGATGCAAAAGCGAGCATGGGACATGGATAACCCACGGGAGTGGTCTGAGATCTCGGCGGAAGCCGTCAGACGGGGTCGCAAGGCCCATGTTGGACGTGTTTTCGAAATCTGTGTAGAAAAAGGGAGCGAACTCCCCAAAGGAAATCCCCTGAGGAAATTCAAAGGCCGTACGGTCTTCCAGGGTAATAATGTCCAGGACGAAAGCAGCAATGCCGCCCTGTTCTCGGAGTTAGGTTCGAGCCCTGCTTCGATGGAGGCTGGCAAGGTGCTGGATACGTATGGATCTCAGCCAGGTTTCGCCTGTGAACAGGCCGACGGTAAGCAAGCTTACACTCAGACGACGTTGAAAGGTGCTGAAACTTGGGTTCGATTACCAAGGGAGCGGTGGCCTAAGTCCTGGGTTGGCAAGTTCAAGGATCCAGTAGTTCGGCTTTTCCTTGCGCTGTACGGACACCCTGATTCGGGGGGCTTCTGGGAGAAGCATTGTGAGCAGAGACTCAAACAAGTGGGTTTTGATCTTCTGTTTCCCTCTTCGTGGCCTTCGGTTTTCTTTCATCCTAAGCTTCGCCTACTCTTAGCCGTCTACGTTGATGATTTCAAGATGGCTGGACCTGTTGAGAATATGCAGGAAGGGTGGAAGCTGATCGGGTCCAAGATCGATATGGATAGCCCGACTCCACTTGGAAGATACCTTGGGTGTGAACATGTAGAGAAGAAGAAAGTTCAACTGGGAACAGCTGACCATCCCTTTGCCCACATCTTTGATAAGAGTATTCCTGACCCCGCGGCCAAACCTTCGGTTCCGGCTACGTCCCAGGATTATACGGAGTACTTTCCTGATGAAGGTGTTATTGTTCGCCATCATATGCAGCCTCGCAAAGCCAAGTATGCTGTTAGCGCTGCGGAAGCAGACGTCTTGAACATCGGCGACCTGCGGTTGACCGAACGTCAGCTTCTTGGAAGTACTTCTGCAGAAGAACAATGGGATGATGGTTTCCGGGGGGGTAAGGCTTCGGGACTTTGGACGGGAACCACTTACTTGTTTGATCGTGGTATTGATAAGCATCATGCCGTGGCTGCTGTTAAGCGCATTCGTGACAAGAACACAGCTAAAAAGGAAGCTAGGAAACAGGCTTTCTATGACATCAGCCAATTGTCGAGTGGCACCGGATGCATGAAACAACCCGTCAACATCATCGAGTATGACATGAAGTCTTTTCTTGAACAAGCTGTACAAAAGTACAAAGACCTTGCTGGCCCCAAGTATCACACCCTTAAGTCAGCCTCTACTCCTTTCGCCGACGAGAAGATCGCGAGGCCCATCGACGATGAGGCCGAGGCAAAGGGTGAATTGGCTCCTATCGCTAGCCGAGTTCTGATGAAACTTTTGTTTGCTGCCAGGATGGCTCGTTATGATCTTTTACGGGCTGTTCAGGGATTGGCAAGCAGAGTTACCAAGTGGTCTGCTGAATGCGACCGGGCTTTACACCGATTGATGTGTTATGTGAATGCCACCCTAGACTTGAAGTTGAGGGGATTCATCGGTGACCCGATTGACCAGTGCAAAATATGGTTGTTTGCTGATGCAGATCATGCAGGTGAGCATGATAACAAGAGTACATCAGGATGCTTCGAGGCTTTGGTCGGACCAAACACGTACTTTCCTTTGGCGGCTTACAGCAAGAAGCAAACCTCAATTTCTATTAGTTCTACTGAGTCCGAGGTCGTATGCGCCAATATTGCTTTGAGGACTGTTGGTTTGCCATCCTCCGCTTTATGGAGTGTGCTCCTGAAGGCAGGGGGGAGTTCAGACGCATCAAAGCCGAGTGCACCCCGGAAGGGAGATGCCTGTTTGGCCAAATTCCCAGATCAGGATGTTGCCTCTCAGGTACCGAAGACTGGTAGACATGAACTTATTGATTGTCGAGTAGCTGTTCTTTCAGGCGGTGACAGTATCCCTGAACCCGTTGAGCTTGCATCCCACCCTCTTCGAGATGTATGGTTGCTCCGGGGGGACAAATGGTCCAGAACAGAAGAAGCTGTCGCTTGGGAAGAGCTTGAGAATGCCTCCTATATGGTTCCGAAGGATGCTAAAGCCATCTTGTGCCTGTACCGGAAGTCATCATTGGAGTATCGTCGCTCTGCGGAAGCAGAAGCCGAATTGAATTATGAGGCTTACAAGCTCCGTCATGGACTTGGCGACTTCGAGTACACCGATGATGCAAAGATCAGATCCGATCATTCATTGATCATGGCTGCACCACATTGCATGCAACCTGTGATGTTAGAAGATAACCAGGCCACTATTAGGATCATGGAGTCCGGAAGGTCACCGGCATTTAGGCACACAGACAAAACCCAAAGAATCAATCTCGGATGGGTATCGGAACAGTTCAGAAGGAAGCATTATGATCTCGCGTACATTAGTACCTTGCTACAGTCTGCCGACATTTTGACTAAGCCTTTTACCAATATTGACAAATGGAAGAGAGCGATTTTCCTCATTGGCCATGTCTATGTCAAACCTTCAAGGCCTGCTTCGCCAATCGTCGTGCCGGACAACCTCGAGAAGAGGATCGAGCCCGAGAACAACGGGGTTCTCATCGAATGGGGACATGATCCGTCGTTCTCTCTGCTCGGAAGGGCAGACGATAGTGGTAGCGGTAGCCCATCTGTCGTTCGGGTCACTCATAGCATGGATCTTAACAGTACTCAGACGAGTAGGGACTTGCTCAAGGTCGTCAAAGGCTATGCAAAGTCGAATGTTCCCATTACCGTCTGGGTTGACCTGCGCTTTGCGGGGGGTCCTGATGATCGCAAACACTTTGGCAAGCTATGGTCTTCTTTCGTCAACTTAAGCACCGGATTGGATTTGAATAACTGCCATTACGTCCTGATTGCTCCCTGGGAACATTTCTCATGGAAGATGGATCGAGTTGTCAGGTGGTGTTCCAATCATGAGTGTACGAGTTTTGAACTTCTTGATGGCGAAAGATCAGGCAATTTAGGTCATTGGAGATTGCATACTTCCCACAAGAATTTGCCAATTGAAGTGATGAATTATTTTCATGGCTGTAAGCTCAAGAACATTTCAGAGCCACAATTTCCTGTTCGACAAGCTGCTGTTGCGGTACAAGTTACTCTGAGCGAAGATCCAATAGGAAGCGCAGCAGTGATGGCATCCTCTTTGCCCACCGTTTCTCTGGAGGAGCGTCGCCGACGCATCGAGGCTTTCCGCAGGGCTCTTAAGGACCCTGATTGCCTCGCGGAAGCGATGGCCTTCGAGGAACCGGCATATTTCAAGGATGCCTATGGCGTTGTGAAGGAGGCGTACCAGTACAAGCTGGTGGAGCCTGCGGAGTCTGATCCGCCAGAGGCCATTTTCCTCGGCCGTATCCGAAACGGCGAGTGGATTGGTCTGCGGAAGCAGTACCCCTACGCAGGTTTTCCCCTCCTGTACGAGATGTGGCACCGCCATTTCAACAGCCCGGCTCATCAGGGAATGCCGATTGAGGGCTTCGAGCTCCATGGCGATTCCCTCCTGACGGAGTGGACAGAACTTGTCAAAGCTTATCTCCGCGACCTGGCTTATGTGGGGCATGCCACAAACGCCGAACGGGCTCTCAAGGCCACTGAGCCGTTTGATGTCTGTCACAGAGCGTATGTGCTATCCCAGGAAACCCTGGGCTACCACGAGTTAATGCCAGCTGCCACGGCGTTGTTAGACTCGGTGTATACTCCAGCCCTCCGAAGAATCGAGCATCAAGAGCAACCAAGCTCGTATTTTATTATCGGAGGAGACAGCTCTCTCGCGTTGGTGACCCGCGGCGACGGTGGACGCGTCCTGATGAAGGGGACGATGGAACCGTCACTCCGGGAGGAGATGACCAAGGACATTCGCATGGATGGATGTTCGGTCGTCATGCGCTGGGGAAAAGGGCTTGGAGACATCGTGTGGCACGTGGAACAGGAGCTCAACCGAGTCCAGAAGTGGAAGAACGGCCAGGACCCGCTCGCACCGGAAGGTGTCGACATTATCATCCAATGGGGTGGTAATGACGTCTATGGCGAGTATGGGTACAAAGGCTTTTCCTTCCACATGCGCAATGCGTGGGTTCGTGTTGATGATGCATTGCATGACACCCTTTCCAATTGGGAGACCAAGGGACGCAAGGCCGTCGAGGACGCAAAAGATGCCCTGGTCCGTCTCTCATCCCGGAAGGGAGTGTCCTCTGTCACGTTGGTGGCTGGCCCCCACAACGGGGAATTCTACGGGCTCCCAGAGGTCTACGACCTGGAGATGGCTCGCCACTCCGATGAGCTGAAGGAGCGAGGGATCCGCATAGTCGATCCCCAGGCTCACATCCTTTCGACAGAGCGTTACGATGGGTTTCACATGGAGGCTACCCACGATAACGTGAAGGTAACCACTCGCTGGTTCTTTCACATGTGCTCTGCAATCATGTTCGAGCGGTGGCTTGTGAAGCACGCGATGGAGCTTAAGGCCAATTCGCGTGGCATCCTCTTTCACAACCACTTTCACCTCGGACTCGGCTTGGAAGAGCTCGACATCCCTCCTACCACGGACTTGCTCATCCCGGCGGAAGCTGAGATGGTGACTTTCCCACCTGAGGCACCGCCCGTGCAACGTTTCCCAGAGGAGGAGATTGTCTTGAACCAGCCGATCCTCAGCTTGGAAAAGCTTGACGAGCTTGAGGGTGTACCGCCCACTGACTATGTCAATGAAGTGGCGAAAGAGTCAGAGGAGCTCACGGTTGAGGATGTAGTGTCTCGTAACCCGAATCCGGAGGACGAGCACCTCACCGTGGAAGCGGTTGACCCCGGCTCGGAGATGGAACAAATCGTTCGGAAAATGATTGAGTCGGTGAACCTGGTGATGACGGATAAGGAGGCTGAAGAGGTCGCCCAGGAGACGGGTGTTGCTCCATACGAGTTTGTTGAGCCGAATGTCACAGCTACATCTGTCATGGATGGTGAGGCAGTCTCTACGATTGCTACTTCCGACATCCCGACGGAAGTCTGGGACTCCGGTCCGATGGCTGTGGACTACGGCGCAGACGATGAAGTGGAGCATCCCCGCGGAAGTGGTGGACCCATCTGGCTTACACCGGATCAGCTACCTGATGTCAAGGGTCGCATGGGATACTTTCGCCTCAATGAGATGGAGTGTGTTTCGTTGGGCAAGAAGCTGTCGTGGCACCTGCGTGGGCATGCCAAGGACAAGGGATTCCGCACTGTTGAGTTCGACGAAGAGCAGTCAGCAGAGATTGGTGATGTTTTGAAGGTCATTGGGAAACAGTGGTCCCGCCTGACGGTGATGACCATCATTGACCTGTTGACGTCCGATCACTGTGACAAAGCACGGTTCGAACTCCAGGCGGAAGCCTTGGACGAGGAGACGCGGTTGGGCCGGGGAACAAACTGGCACTTTACCCGTGTCCGAGCATTCCAAGGACACAACGCCTGCTTGCTCGTCCTCGACAGCGACCCGCTGAAGACCACTGTCAAACAGTGGGCCCTCGATGATCAGTGGATCCCGTCCTATGTTGATCTACCGATCACTGGTCCGTATCCTTATCGGGCAACGGCCTTCGATCTGATGCCAAAGCTGGCGTATCACGCCACATACTGGCGAAATTTCATCAAGATCGTCAACACAGGCCTCATCCCGGGAGGGAAAATGACCTCGAAGGGCAACAGCGGAAGGCCCTTCAGCATGTTCGCGATGGAGCCTCAGTGGGAACGCACCTCCAATCAGGGCGTCCGCCCTGGCGCGCAGCTGGAATTTGTCTTGGTGGCCGTTTCGGGGATTTTTAATTTTTTGGTGTTTTGTGGGGTTCATTGCATACAACCAACTGCAGCCTTCAGGCTCGAGGGGTCAGACCAGGCATCAATCCAACCAGGTGTTTCCAGTGGAAACACCTGGTTGGAGTTGATGCCTGTCGGGGGATGCACGGACATCCCTCACCCCTGCAAGATGTCTGTGGTCCCACCACCGACATCTTGCAGGGGTGAAGGATGTGCGTGCATGAACCCCGACCGAGGCCCCAGCGTGCATGGATAGAGACATCCATCACCCCCGCAAGATGTCTGTGGTCCCACCACTGACATCTTGCGGGGGTGAGGGATGCCCGTGCATCCCCGACCGAGGCCCCAGCGTGCATGCACAGACCCAGAACAATGCACCAGGCTCGGTCAGACCCCAGCATGCATGCACAGACCAATGCACGAGGCTCGGTCAGACCCAGAACAATGCACCAGGCTGGGTCAGACCCCAGCATGCATGCACAGACCCAGAACAATGCACCAGGCTCGGTCAGACCCCAGCATGCATGCACAGACCAATGCACGAGGCTCGGTCAGACCCAGAACAATGCACCAGGCTGGGTCAGACCCCAGCATGCATGCACAGACCCAGAACAATGCACCAGGCTCGGTCAGACCCCAGCATGCAGGTCCAGGCTCAGTCAGTCAGACTACAGTAGGTGGTGGCTCCAAGGCTCCCAGGCTGCCAGGCTCAAGGCCCACCCCTAACCCGTGCCGCCATGTCTTCATGGACTTCGTCGTGATCACTCTTCGGCTGTGGCCGCAGCCGCAGCCGCAGCCTCAGGGGGGGGGGGGGCAGGACGAGAGCAAAAATCATGTTATAGCATGACATGCAATGACAGTCAGCTGCTTTGACTTGCGATTCCTGTCACGGCGGCTCCCAGGCACTTTAGGCTCCCAGGCACTTTAGGCTCCCAGGTTTCAGTCAGTTCCACTGAGGTTTTGAACGCCTGCCGACGGCCGCCGCGGCTCTGCGAAGACAAGCCGCCAGTTTTGCATTTACCCATGGAGTGTTGCATGCATGCCTTGAGTGTTTGCCGTGCACCACATGCAATCAGAGTCAGCTGCTTTGACTTGCGAGTGTTGCCACTGGAGTGTTTGCCGAGCACCACATGCAATGACAGTCAGCTGCTTTCAGTTTAGGCTCCCAGGCACTTTAGGCTCCCAGGTTTCAGTCAGTTCCACTGAGGTTTGAACACCTGCCGACGGCCGCCGCGGCTCTTCGAAGACAAGCCGCTCTCTCTCTCTCACACGGACTCGGGGGAGAGAGAGAGAGCGGCTTGTCTTCGAAGAATGTTTGCCGTGCACCACATGCAATCACAGTCAGCTGCTTTGACTTGCGAGTGTTGCCACTGGAGTGTTTGCCGAGCACCACATGCAATGACAGTCAGCTGCTTTCACTTTAGGCTCCCAGCACTTTAGGCTCCCAGGCACTTTAGGCTCCCAGGTTTCAGTCAGTTCCACTGAGGTTTTGAACACCTGCCGACGGCCGCCGCGGCTCTTCGAAGTTTGAAGACGAGCCGCCAGTTTTGCATGCACCCGTGGAGTGTTGCATGCATGCCTAGAGTGTTTGCCGTGCACCACATGCAATCACAGTCAGCTGCTTTGACTTGCGAGTGTTGCCACTGGAGCGTTTGTCGAGCACCACATGCAATGACAGTCAGCTGCTTTCACTTTAGGCTCCCAGGCACTTTAGGCTCCCAGGTTTCACTCAGTTCCACCGAGGTTTCCTGCCGACGGCCGCCGCGGCTCTTCGAAGACAAGCCGCCAGTTTTGCATTTACCCGTGGAGTGTTGCATGCATGCCTAGAGTGTTTGCCGTGCACCACATGCAATCACAGTCAGCTGCTTTGACTTGCGAGTGTTGCCACTGGAGTGTTTGCCGAGCACCACATGCAATGACAGTCAGCTGCTTTCACTTTAGGCTTTAGGCTCCCAGGCACTTTAGGCTCCCAGGTTTCAGTCAGTTCCACTGAGGTTTGAACACCTGCCGACGGCCGCCGCGGCTCTTCGAAGACAAGCCGCTAGTTTTGCATTTACCCGTGGAGTGTTGCATGCATGCCTAGAGTGTTTGCCGTGCACCACATGCAATCACAGTCAGCTGCTTTGACTTGCGAGTGTTGCCACTGGAGTGTTTGTCGAGCACCACATGCAATGACAGTCAGCTGCTTTCACTTTAGGCTCCCAGGCACTTTAGGCTCCCAGGTTTCAGTCAGCCCCACTGAGGTTTTGAACACCTGCCGACGGCCGCCGCGGCTCTTCGAAGTTTGAAGACAAGCCGCCAGTTTTGCATGCACCCGTGGAGTGTTGCATGCATGCCTAGAGTGTTTGCCGTGCACCACATGCAATCACAGTCAGCTGCTTTGACTTGCGAGTGTTGCCACTGGAGCGTTTGTCGAGCACCACATGCAATGACAGTCAGCAGCTTTCACTTTAGGCTCCCAGGCACTTTAGGCTCCCAGGTTTCACTCAGTTCCACTGAGGTTTCCTCCGACGGCCGCCGCGGCTCTTCGAAGACAAGCCGCCAGTTTTGCATTTACCCGTGGAGTGTTGCATGCATGCCTAGAGTGTTTGCCGTGCACCACATGCAATCACAGTCAGCTGCTTTGACTTGCGAGTGTTGCCACTGGAGTGTTTGCCGAGCACCACATGCAATGACAGTCAGCTGCTTTCACTTTAGGCTCCCAGGCACTTTAGGCTCTCCCAGGTTTCAGTCAGTTCCACTGAGGTTTTGAACACCTGCCGACGGCCGCCGCGGCTCTTCGAAGACAAGCCACCAGTTTTGCATGCACCCGTGGAGTGTTGCCCCTGGAGTGTTTGCCCAGCACCACATGCAATGACAGTCAGCTGCTTTGACTTGCGAGTGTTGCCGCTGGAGTGTTTGCCGAGCACCACATGCAATGACAGTCAGCTGCTTTGACTTGCGATTCCTGTCACGGTGACTCCCAGGCACTTTAGGCTCCCAGGCACTTTAGGCTCCCAGGTTTCAGTCAGTTCCACTGAGGTTTTGAACGCCTGCCGACGGCCGCCGCGGCTCTGCGAAGACAAGCCGCCAGTTTTGCATTTACCCATGGAGTGTTGCATGCATGCCCAGAGTGTTTGCCGTGCACCACATGCAATCACAGTCAGCTGCTTTGACTTGCGAGTGTTGCCGCTGGAGTGTTTGCCGAGCACCACATGCAATGACAGTCAGCAGCTTTCACTTTAAAGGCTCCCAGGCACTTTAGGCTCCCAGGTTTCAGTCAGTTCCACTGAGGTTTTGAACACCTGCCGACGGCCGCCGCGGCTCTTCGAAGACAAGCCGCTAGTTTTGCATTTACCCGTGGAGTGTTGCATGCATGCCTAGAGTGTTTGCCGCGCACCACATGCAATCACAGTCAGCTGCTTTGACTTGCGAGTGTTGCCGCTGGAGTGTTTTCCGAGCACCACATGCAATGACAGTCAGCAGCTTTCACTTTAAAGGCTCCCAGGCACTTTAGGCTCCCAGGTTTCAGTCAGTTCCACTGAGGTTTGAACACCTGCCGACGGCCCGCCGCGGCTCTGCAAAGGCAATCCGCGAGTTTTGCACGCACCCGTGGAGTGTTGCCAATGGAGTGTTTGCCGAGCACCACATGCAATCACAGTCAGTTGCTTTGACTTGCGAGTGTTGCCGCTGGAGTGTTTGCCGAGCACCACATGCAATGACAGTCAGCTGCTTTGACTTGAAATTCCTGTCACGGTGGCTCCCAGGCACTTTAGGCTCCCAGGCACTTTAGGCTCCCAGATTTCAGTCAGTTCCACTGAGGTTTTGAACACCTGCCGACGGCCGCCGCGGCTCTTCGTGAAGGCAAGCCGCCAGTTTTGCATGCACCTGCGGAGTGTTGCATGCATGCCTGGAGTGTTTGCCGTGCACCACATGCAATCACAGTCAGCTGCTTTCACTTGCGTTTCCTGTCACGGTGGCTCCCAGGCTCTTTCAGGCTCCCAGGTTTCAGGCTCCTGAAGCAGGAGTCAGACCAGTTCCTGGGTTAGCATATGTCAAGCAGCGCGGACAGTGACATCATGGCTGCATTGAAGCTCCGAGCGAAGGCGGTCGAGTCCACGGACACCGCCGCAGCTGCGGCTGCACAGCCGTCCGAGACGGTGGATTCGGAGGGCTTCACAGTGGTCTCAGATCCCGCCAAAAAGGAGGACCAGGAGGAGCAGCAGCAGCCTGGCTCGGGATCGACTTCGTTGGCAAGGGCCAGTGACGATGCCACTTCGTCGGATGTCGGCGAGAACATCCCACAAGTCCTTCAGTCCATGATCAAACCGGCGATGCTGCGCTACAAGGCTACGGATCTCCAGTCCCACTATATGCACATTGGCTTAAACGACTGGGAGTTCAAGTTAGATGTTACATTAATTATTTGGTTTATTGCTTTGAACTTATAATTAATCAGTTTTTTATTTTAATAATTATTATTATTATAGATCCTCCAGGCACCTGAAGCAAGCGCCGGACCTGCTGAGAGACCGTTACGACACGAGTGAGCAGTTCACGTGGGCACTGGCAGGGTTCAATGCGTATCGCAGCTCATTCTACCCAGACGGCAGTTTTTCCGACAATTGTGGCATCATAGCATGTACCTCGGCAGAATAACATTAAAATTTAATTTAATAATATAATAATTAAATAATTAATTTAATTTAGTAATCATAATAATTAATCATATTATTATAGTAGGTTGTAGTTTAGTTTTTCATTTGAATTGTTCTGAAGATCGTGTCAACTCAGATTTCCCGTGGGAAGACATGGAGGTTATGCCCAAGTTGCAGAGCATCGCGACGTCCATGCCGCCGCAGAATGCAACGCCGCAGGTGTACTCTGTTGTACCTGAGCCTGATGAAGTTATTAATTAACTTAAATCTGTGAATGAATGTAATTATTATTAATTGCACTGAGGTGGCGTGCTGCATCCGGGAGCTTCTGGATCAGTTTCTCTATGCGCCTGACGAAAAGGTGGTCCGCATCCTCTTGTTCCCATACATAGCAAACGGGGCTGCGCGAGGATGTATGTTGAATCGCTTCGAACCCTGGCTAGGCTAGATCGAAGTTGGAGTAACAGATTGTTTGCATCGTTTGACTTATTATATATGACTCATTCGACTGAGTCCAGACTTAACCAAGGACCAGGATCCCCAGTGGGCAGGATGGTCACTGCCGATCATGACGGATGGCTTGCTCTTGTCGGTGTCATCGTACGCCCAGGATGTCTTG